AACTTGTGTGACGAAGGTATGACTCAGCAAATTTATTTGTTATTTTTACAGGTGGGAGAAGAGATTTTGGGTCTTTCCAGTCCTCCAACGTTCAGGAACTTATTCATCAACCAGAGGTGAGAGTTAGTAGTGTCATCTCTTATAATTCCATCAGATAACCTGTATACACCGACATAACTCATAAGTAAAGAAGAAAAAATACTGTTGAATTCATATATTTTAGTCTCCTTGTGAACACTTAACATTTACATCATTCTAATCATTGTCTTACACTAATCAACATCAGGTGCAGTTGTAAACATGCATTGACATATCATTTTGCTATAGCCTACAGCACATCTTGTGTGTTTTTCACTTACAGGACCAGTATGAACCACCACCATTGCCCTTTGACCTCCCATCATTTGAAGATTACAAAGATCCAGAGAAATGCCCGAAATTTGGGAAGGAGATGAGAAAAAAGCACTTCTTATTAGAGGTAATTGTTATGGGCACAGTCTAAAGGGCTGTGTTTTTCTACATGTAGGTGCCAATGTTATGATGTTTATACATGTATTATGCCAATTTAGCAATGTTACAGTGTCAGTCTGAGCTCATTAAGTATTGGTAATGTGTATAAATTAGGATATTAAATATGATTCAAACATTTCTTTTCTTGTTCCAGGAAGACTGTACATTTCTGAACCATGGAGCCTTTGGTGCTGCCCTGAAGGATGCCCTGGATGTTTCCATGGTGAGTTTCCAATGAGTTTGACTGCTCCTCCTGGAGGCAGACAGATGTACTGCAGTTGTCTTGTCTTTGCAAAGAGCAAATCAAGCTTTCAGTAAAAACCTTAATTCGGTAGTTAGTTAACTGTCAAGAACCACATATATATAAGATATAACTTGTCCATTTGCAAACAAACTATCAATTGGAAATTTGATAAAACCATGCAGTACCATGTTGTATTAACAGGTATACCGGTAATGTTATGTATGAAATGTACAGATTTGTTAAATGTTTCCACAGAAATGGCAGGTGCAGGTGGAGCGGCAGCCGCTGCGGTTCTTTGACAGACAGGTGTTGCCCCACCTGGTGTGGGTGAGCCGTAGAGCAGCACAGTTTGTAGGTATGGGCCTTTGTACATCTTGTATAGCCTGGGTGCCATCCTCCATAGTTTCTGCCAGCTCCCTAATGTTCCTGGCTACCACAGTGGATGGCACCCAGGCTACATCTTGTATGCATTTGTATGCTGTCACACACAACTGTTTCAACTGCAAACTTGCAACAAAAAATGCAAAAATCTCCTTTCTATCTTATTACGGATTGAATCCATGCCAAATATATATGAATTTACTGTATAGTGTTTCTGTACCAGGAGCGGACCCAAGAGACATTGCCTTGGTAACCAACGCGTCGACCGGCACCAATGCGGTGATCAAGAGTCAGAAGCTGGGTCCTGGAGACGTGATCTACTGTCTCAGCGTCACGTACGGCGCCGTGAAGAAACTACTGTCTCATGTACGGGACGAGACAGGTGTCACCATACAGGAGGAGGTGGTCAAGTTTCCTCTGGAAGGTCCAGAACAGGTAAAAACTTACATTTTTGTTGTTATAATGTCAGTAGCACTGTACGGTTGTCAATCATTACAAAATCAGTTACCTGAGTACTAGTAAGGTGCCAGACACTGGCCTACAATGTGTACATTTTGTAATGATTGGCAACCATACAGTACTACAAAAATTTAAGATGTACTGCAAGCTGACAACATCACAACTGTGTTTGGTTACAATATATTTACATGTACTTACTATATTGAAGATTTGCTAAAGTTTGGGTTAGCAAATCAGAATTACTAGTATGCTTTTTGATTGATTCTTGACAGCATTGATATTGGAACTTGTTGATTTATGTACAAAATTCAACCTTCTCCCTGCTATGCCCCTGAAATATATCTGGTCAGAGGCCATGCCAGTAGAACAAGGGTTAAAGCAGTGTGAATGTTACAGATTGTATCACTAGTGTTGGTTAAATCAGTGTGAATGTTACAGATTGTATCACTAGTACGAGACACCCTGAGACCAGGCACCAGACTGGCAGTGTTTGACCACATCCCCAGTAACACACCCTTCATCAACCCACTCAAGGAACTCATCCACATCTGTCATGACAGGTCAGATAAAGACCCAATACTTTACAATTCTTGAAAAATACTGCAGTCTTGTAATGGTTTTATTGCTTAATGATACATGTAAGTGGGGCATAGTTCAAGTCCAAACTTAGTATGCCATTATGCCTATTTTGCATTATTGCTTTTCATAATTAGATTTATACCATAGATATGAAATACTTTGTTTGAAAACTGATATAACCCAGTATTTCTCTCTCTTTCCACAGAGGAGTACCAGTACTAGTAGATGGTGCACATGCACTAGGTGCTCTGCCAATCAACCTCAGGTAAGCCACAACTTTAACAAACTTAAACATTCTTAATTATACAGGAATGGTTATGAAAGGTAATTAGATATAGCACCTAATTAATTAGTGTATAAGCCATTAAAGACAGATAGCTAGATTAAGGGTTGCTAGATTTTTTTAGATCTACTGCAAAACTTTGTATAGATTGCACTGCAGCATATGTTTTAACATATACATGTATATAGAAGATAACCCCATATGACCTTGTCTTCTCCCTGTGCCCTCCAGGTCGTTGAACCCAGACTATTACGTGACCAATGCCCATAAGTGGTTCTGTTGTCCGAAGGGCGTGGCCCTGCTGTACGTGCGGAGAGATCTCCAGGAGACGACACGCCCGCTGGTGGTGTCCCACGGACACGGGGCAGGATTCAACGCTGAGTTCGCCTTCCCAGGTTCTGTCTGTATCTGTATAGCCAGTATAACCAACCATCGATGTAACACACTAGCTTAGGTTTTGTGGATAACCTGGAGTCAGTAAAAGGTGGCAGTTAAACAATGGCTTCTCCCCTCTGTGTAGATATTTCAAAAATTCAAAATCCTGAATGTCATTTCTTGTCCCCAGCATCCCTTTTATGAATCTAACTGGCAAGTGCAAACCTGGCCAGAATGCCAGCTTTTTCAAAAGCACTTGTTTTCAAATCTGCACTTACCATGCTATATGTTTGGTACCTTGTATGCTGGCCTTGTACAATGTACCTACTGCACAGTACATACTTTTGGTGGAGTAGCCTCAAGAAAATACACTTCATTTTCTCTTCCACATGACTTATGCTGATATTTCTCCTCAGGTATGAAGGACTACAGTTCTAAGCTGTCTCTGCACACTGTGCTGGACTTCTGGCAGTGTGTGGGACCAGAGAGGGTACAGACGTACCTACATGACCTGGTCACACAGGCTGCTGAGCTACTGATGGAGAAATGGAACACAGGACTACTGGCACCACTCCACATGTTCGGTGGGAATAAAAGCTCATCTTTGTTGGTAGATTCCATAGTTGTAGGGTTTTAGCTTTGTTCTAACAAAAAAAAGGATAAAGGTCAACAAGATCGACTGAAAATTCACAGTCATTTCCTTTCTTGTGATGGAACAAAGCTTATAGTCTACAACTATGTTTGGTGGGACATACATGTATGTTTCAAACATGCTTTCTGTGTACGTCTTGTACTCAAAAGTGTGGCTCTCCTCAAACACTGATATACATGTACAATAATGTACTAGTAGTGTTTCTTCAAAGAATGGTCTTCTATTAACATGCTTGAGGCTAGTACATGTGCGATTCATGTCTTCTTAACATTGCAACTTCTAATTGTAATTGTGTGGGCTGGCTTATCCTTACAGCCAAGGGCTGAATTGTGAGGAACTAACAATCAGTGGGGCTGACTCGCAAGGGTCTGGAGCGGCTGCCATTTGGTGCTAACTCAGGTGACCTTAATATGTAAGGACTGTAAGGTTTGAATGACTTACACCAGGAAGGACCCCTACTCTTTTTTTTATAAGTATGGAGGGGTGCTCAAGCTGTGGCTATCCTAGCACAATACTTCCATTGAACGTCCTATCCAAGGGACATCCCTGACCAAAGCTAGGTAGTCATTTTTACCCGAGTGAAGTGAGGAAAGTCGTATTAAGTACCTTTCCCAAGGGCAATATCAGGGAATATCATGGGAAACAAACCCTGTACCTCTGGGTACTGGGCCAAACACCCTAACATAACCATTATGTTTTGATATATAGTTGGTATAATATAATCAAGGTATATGGAGTAGTTTTCTCATGGATTCAGGAAAACGTGAATAAATTCCTATTTTGTCCCGACAGCTTCCATGGCGCTGGTGCAGTTACCTCCTGCCTTCCATGATGATACTGCTGTGACCTATGACCTGGCTGAGAAGATACAGAACCAACTGTACCATAGGTTTAACATTGAGGTATGTATCATGTCATGTCCTTTACTTAGTGTGTTACTTCAAAGTCTATTCTAACCATTATTAGGTAGTCAGAAGTTATGTCTGAAAAGTTAGGAGACAAAATTTTGAATCTGTGCCAAAAGAAATTTCTGCTGTCAGTAATGTTTGAGCATCCAGACTTTTGATTTTCAACGATTAGGTATAGGTAGATTGTAGAAAGCATGAAGATGCCTTTCTTTCAGACATTTGTGTGTGCATGTGAGCAAGAACACACTTAACACTTGGCACTAACAGTAACACTGAACTTTGTTAGATTTGTAGGTCTCACCAAGGTTTAAATCTTGTATTTAACCTCCTTGGTATTACCAATTGTCTTACTAAATTGTTCATTGCATCGACTCCCCCTAGGTACCCCTGAAGGCAGTGCAGGGGGAGCTGTATGTCAGGATATCTGCCCACATCTACAACGAACTTGCTGATTACCAGGCATTAGGAGATGCCATCTTGCAACTTAAATCAGAACTGCAGTAGAGTTTACCAGACCTATCTATGATCTATATATGTATATACAGGACTCAGGGAGAATGATTGATACTTTTTGTACTCTAAAATAAGCATGTTCAGTCTGAAAGATTAAATCTAGGCGCCAAGAATGTTATGGTCTGTGCAGGAAAACTTACAGTACTCTACCAGATCAGTATGATATGCCTTCAGGTAGCCTGGATTCCAGTCTTTTTCTGGTATCTCTTGACTCTACTGAGCAGGTTGCAACTGGCTAATTGCAAAAACAGAGCTTCAGAAGTCTTTTCAGGTCTTTTTAGGTTAAACTTCAAGAGGCATTGTCCATCTTAATAAAATAAACATATCACAAGTATCGTACCAAGGGTAAATAAGGACACAACTGCTTCACTCAGTTGCACTGTCTGTATTAGTGCTTTTAATTTAAGGTGCACAATATTAGCTACAACTTACTTCTAAAGGACACTAAGTATATATTTCAATCATACCCGGTATACAGCTAAAACAACACTGTCTAGCAATCACATGTACCAGTAGGAATCTTTCTATCTTGCACACAAAGTCATGAAAAATATGTTAAACAAAGGAAAAAACTCAATTTTTTTACACTGCAAATGTGTACATGTTATTTTACACTTAAGATAAGTTAACATTTTAAATGCAGTGTCATGTTCTTGAATTTTACGAAGAGAAGGTGGATTTTTCTTCAATGTTCCTAAACAAAATCATTTAGAACTGTATTCTACTTGAATCAGGCAATACAATAAATATTGTAACACATGTTAATAAAAGATCTATTTACACACAACTGCTCATTGAAATTGGTCAAAGAGTTAGATAAACTTCTGAGTCCTGACAGCTTACATGAGAAGTGGGTTGGTTTGGGCACTTTTATTAAATTTAAGTCCTGTAATATGCTAATTGCACACAAATAAAAACAGTATCCTAATTCCATTATATGTTAAGTATACACTAATCACACATACATACACTATTACTGTAGTAATTATTGGTACTTAATTACATCATTTAGAAAACTTAATGTTGGTTTGTAGGCCACTTAACTGTGCTTTTAAGAATCTGTATGTGCGCTGATTTTGATTGCAGAGTCAGGACAGTAACAAAACCTTGGTACTTTTATACATTTTGAAATACTTCCAGATAGATTTGATACTTATAAACTTACTTGCAATAAAATCATTAAAGAACTTGTACAATGTAGGTGCTCTGACTTCGTTTGTAAAATGCTTCTTAATTGTACAACTGTTAATTTAGTAACATTCCTCCACATTTAGGTTCATTTTAGTAGTGAGTAAAAGCTGGCCTAAAACCTCCAAATTTTGGGTTAATTTTTCCACAATTGAAATATTTCTCATTACAAGTTCACGCTGGTAGCCAAGTTTACAAACTGACCTGGTCTACACAATCACAGATCATAAAATTAAGTTTAAAACAAACTTTTAAATAGCCCTTGCAAAAGGGATAAGAAAAATAAATAACTTTACCAATAATCTAAAAGTTGAATTCAATAGAATTCAGGGTTCAGCCTAGTTTAGGCACAATACAGACTATACTATTCCACATTCCACACAAGTACAGTCATATCTTAACTGACTTACAATAAGAGACTGGCTACCACACTGTTTGCAAATCTCTTCCTTTCAATTCAATAGCTAAAATCTATTTCAGTCCAAACAATAGTCAAACAGGAAAGGAGTATTCCCTGCTACGCTTAGCATAAACAGCATAATACATAATTTGTGATGATACAATTATTAGTAATGTTTGCAGTGAGATTTTGACTGTGTCAGCCAGTGGTACAATATTAACATGAAAATCAAATATTAGACCAAAATAAAACAAAAATTCTTTTTTTGCATACTTGGTGACAGATGCTACTTAAAGTTTACAAAATGTAAATACAGTTTGTAAAGTTCTAAGTATATCACTAAAGTCATCACATTTGATGAAGTGCGATTCATGAGGTAGTTGGCTTGTATGACTTACAATGTGGTTGCACATATCTGGACTGGCAGTTTGCAAAGCGAACTTTTGAGTTGTTAAAATTGAGGCAAGAATGTTTGTGAAATGGACCCCAAACTTTCTTTATTCAAATTCCTGATTTTGGTGCTTAGAGATCACAATCTATCATCTAATGTTTGATTATGGTATTATTTTCTCAGTTTACTTTTAACAGCAATGACTGAAAATGGAGAAGGAAGGCCAATTATGGTGCATTTTGCTGTCAGTGTTTTCCTTTTTCACTTGTTCTACTTTGCAAGATGTGGGTTTCCATGGGTCTACTGTCTCAGAGGTGTGGCTTTTCCTTGGTCTACCTCTTAAGAGATGTTCCTTTCCCTAGGTCTACTGCACCAGAGACGTGTGTTTTGCTGGGTGTACTTCTGAAGATATCTAGGTTTCCAGCAGGTGTATCTCCTCTGTTGTTTTCCCAGTGGGTCTACTTCTAAGGTGATGTGAGTATCTCTTGATCTGGGTTTTCCTGGGTCTACTTTCTCAGAGATCTGGGTTTGCCTGGATCTACTTTCTCCGAGGTTGGTTTTCCTGGGTCTACTTCCTCTGATGTCAGTTTTCGTGGGTCTACTTCCTTAGAGACCTGGGTTTCCCAGGGTGGAACCCTGCCCAGTCAGAACTACTGTCCTTAAAGGTGGTGAACTTGTGGTCCAAAGGCAGACCTGGGACAAAAAAAATGCTTGTTAGTGATTGCGAATTCTGTCTATTGGCCTTGAAAAGATATGAATTAGAATCCAAAGTCAAGAATCACTGGTCAAGTCTTTATTTCACAGTACAGCTTAGAGTTACAAGCTGTAAAATTGTATGGAAGAAGTTACATGTATGATGCCTAATGTGGTCCACAAGCAAGGTAAGTGATAACTAAACCACACATTAAAATCACTTTAAAAAAGAACAGTTTTTTGTGTTTGCAAAATGTGTAATTTTCTCTGCCCACCTGCCAGGTAGTCCAGGTGAGGTACACAGATGTCGGCACTGCTCCTCAGGATGTGGCCACACACCGTCACGACCTCTGACCCGGAAGTGCTTCTGTCTGTCAGGAAGGGTCCCCACATGTCTGACACCAGGATAGCTTTGCTGGCGGGGTCATAGTCATTCTCCTGAGAAATAAGAACAAGGAATCCTTATATTGAGCTTTTAGGGGAAAATACACAACACAAATTTTCTTACAACATGCATAAGGGTGACAAAATGGATGAGAAAGACATGAAAAACATGAAATGGTTATATGCAGTTTATGTGATCGTATCAGTATAATGTGATCATTTCTGTAGCAACATTTTCTGTTTGAACAGAAGTGAGAGTCATACTACAACACACACACATGAAAGGAAGGAAGGATTGGAAGACTGCATCTTCACCCTTGCAAGGGGTCAAAGGTTTTGAAGACTGCACAAAGCCACACTGTAGAACAATACATACACACACCCAGGACACCAAATACTGTACTTTCTTCTGTCATCTTAAGAATTGTAGACTGTAAGAGTGGCAAAATTACCTGCAAATACCTCTTGCCAAATTGTTTCAAAAGTTGTTCACCTGTGATTTAATTACTGATTCACTGTATCATATTTCGTGCCCTGAAACACCATAAAATAATAACCCACTCACACTATATCTCGCTCTCTTGGTGGCGGGGCCGTTTTGGGTCTGCAGAAAAGACATGCACATGCAAGAGCAAGGTTTGGATTATTGCGTGAAGCCAGGGTTCTTCCTACTTGCTTCTAATGGTACTTAATACTATTATGAGTTGCAATGGTTTAGTCATATGAAGTGGTGTACATCCATAACCTTAGCACAAAACTCCTCATACATTGTATCTTTACCCCTACAATAACTGCTTAACGTATCTAGCAATGGTTGATGAAACTGTTACAAAAGTTTAAGTCAATACGGTCTTCCTATAAAGGTAAAAGAAATCATGATGAGTTATGTTTTAAGAAATATCATAAGAGGAAAGTGGAAAGTGAAATGACAATCACCACACACTTTCAAGCTTCCATCAATTATAAGAATCAGCCTAAATGTTTCTTATCTTGTTAAGACTCTGCTAAAGAATTCTTAAGAGTGTTCCTACCCTGTCTTCCTCCATTCCTTCTGCCTCCATCTCCTCACAGATCAGAATGGTCGACCAGTTGGCAAACTTCTTGGGAGGGAAGATATCTGATCTCAGACTGTCACCAATATATACAACCTGGAAACAACACAAAACATTTAAAATACAATCTGTAATGTAAATTAAAGGACACATCTGATAAATCTGCAAAGTACGTAGACTACATGCACATTCATGGCATGTATTACAAAAGCACATCACAAGCACGATATACACTCATTAAATGTTCATGGCACTTTAATTTTCGTGTTTTTTGGGACAACTTCAATGTGACTTCTAACAAGTCGTTAATACGCCTTTTTGTATTGCAGCAATTTGCTAATGCACTACAGAATGCAAAAACCTCTTTTCCCATTTTAATTTATTTGTATGATGAAATTACATGTAGTTAAATGTAATTGAATGTACAGTACCTTAGGCTCTTCCTTGCCTGTGAGTTGTCTGAGAAGGATCATGAGTGTTTGCCAGTTGCCCTGTGCGTATCCCTTTCCCCTCTCCAGCTCCTTCACTTTTGTGCCCTCTTGAAAATCCACTGTTATCAAGATAGAACATCAACACCACACAATTACACCCCTCTGAAAATCCCCATTTAATTTCATAATCATGTTTAGAATGGCACTGAAATTGGGATATAAGACTAACAATGACATTGGTGCTTTTCACTCACCTACTGAGTAGAAAGGTCTCTTATTTGGTGGCTCTGAGAAGAAACCTGGCTTCTTTGAGTTGGTGACGATAACATCAAAATAGTCCTTCCACTCATCTCTGTTTGGGACAGAAAATTATTTGTTAGAAACTTTTTCCCTGCACTAAAAATAGCCCAACATGGTATAAAATGGTAGTTAACATATACTTAAATTTGTACGTTAAAACTTACCCCAGAACTTTCCTGGCTATGTGATCGCAGTAATCAGAACAGGAGCTTGTGGCCAAGAAAACGGCTTTTCCTGCAGCCCGCAGTTCCTTCAGCCACCGCCGGATGTCCTCGCTGCACTTGTGCATGTACATGTACGGCTTATCCTTGATGGCTGGGAAATAGCCACCTGTATGAGCTATTTTAAATAAGAAAATGTTACGTTAGACAGTGTGCTTGAAAAGATTAGACCAAGATTAGACAAGATTAACTTATTTCCTGTCAATTTCCCGCTATATTCATGTCTGTTGCCCTATAAACTCTTATTCACAAAAACCATTGTTTTGTATAGCAAACATTTAAAGAAGTGCTTCAATGACTTTTATAGCACTAACTAGAGTTCCACAATCTCATACCTTCGCCAAATGATGTTAGCCTTTATGAATAAGAAATATACTAATCACCCTGATTATGCAAATAGGATCCTCAATTGCATGAATTATATCAGTCTGTTGATCATATTCTCCACCAAAAGAGTCTTGTCTTAACAAAGAATGCCATTTTCTCATAAATTATGCAAATGTGGTCCTTATTTGAATAAGTTATGTTTAATTATGTTCACATTCACTTAACTTTCAAACACCCCAAGCATGAAATTCCAGGCAGTTACCACTAGGCAATTATAACATTTTCTCATTAATTATGCAAATTAAGTCTTCATTTGCAAAATCAATAGTTGCCTGTGTTTCTCTCGTTCTTAATAACATATGTTACAAGCTTGAACTTCCTATCATGGAATGCAGCTGATTTATAGAATTTCCTCATTAATTATGCAAATTACATCAATATTCGCATAATTGTAATATCATTATGTCAAGCATCACTTAAGCTACCTACATACCAAAAATCACGATGATCCATCAATCGGTTCTTGAGTTATCCTCTTTTAAACATTTGTCCTTTAAACCCCCCTGCAGTTCTAGAGCAAGCTGCTAGGGGGTCTAAACTCATGTCACTTCTTCCCCAGCATAAGAGCTACCTACCATTCAAATTTCATCACCATAGCATGTCTGGATCTTGAGATATCAAAACCGGAAGTTCAGCTGCAGTACCATAACAAGCCGCTAGGGGGTCCAAAATCTAATCATTTTGAGGTCTCATCAAGACCTACCCATCTACCAAGTATCAAGACAATCCATCAGGGCCTTCTCAAGTTATCGTGTTGACAGACAGACAGACACACACACACACACACACATACACGAACGCCCCTGAAAACATAACCTTCTTGGCGAAGGTAATTAATACCTGCAAAAGCTTCAGGTTTGTAGGCATTGTTGAAGGCATCAATGGCATCCCTCCACATCTTGCACATCTTTGTTTTCTGCTTTCCTTTGCTTTCCTGTTGGCAAACAGAAATTGTTACAACAAAATCTAAATACTTACATTACTGTAACAATACATAGACAGAAAATGTTGAATACATTGTAATATTCACCAATGTTTGTACCACGTATAGATACCACAAACCAAGAAATAAGTACATACAGCATTTTTTTCCAGGTTGTCCACCATTCGAGCACACAGCACGATACCAGGCATGTCAAAGTAGTTCTCATACAGGTGATACTTGTCTGAAACAACAACAGTAGTAACACTCAGGTCATATCATCATCAAGTAAAATGATCAACCATCAATACTTTGTACAGCAGTCCAAGTATAACACAACTCCATTACAAGTAGAATGTTCTTTCATGTTACTCCTTAACATACTGGTTCATTTTCTTTAGTTGTTTCTTACAAGGTTCTTCATACGATTACCTGAGTTCTCAAACTTCCCCTTCAGCTCGGCAAAGTGCTTCCACTGCTTCTCATCCCCATATATTGCGGTGATTTCCTCTTCTGTCATTATCTGAGTTCCATGGCTGGCTCTGTAAGGAATGCACTTGCTTACCAAACTTTGATATATGATAAAAACACCTGTTTGTGCAAGATGAGACTCTGCTGTCAGTAAATAGTAGTACTGTCATTCTTTAAACTGCTGAATTCTTAGATTATGGTGCTTAGACAGCACTCAGAGAGTGAAAACCTTAAGTTGCTGAAACAAAAGAGTTTCTACTATATCTTATCCTTAACTGAATCATAGTAAATTTTGTTTCACACCTCAGGATGGTGCCATCCTCTGCAAACTTCAGGAAATTTCCTCTCAGAGCATCCAGGAGTAGACCTTTTACACTGTGGAGAACAAACAAAAAAATCCTATAACAAATGTTGCAACTGCGTACTAAAATGGCTTTACAAAATCATTTACTTTAGAATGTGTACTAGTAAGTCAACACCTTTATTTCCTTGAGATGTGTATCAATTTACAAGTCTTATCTACTGTGTAAAGCAATGAGACAGAAGAGAAAAGAAGACTGACCAGAAGTCCCTGTCCTCTGAGAATGGTCGCAGCATCTCCTCACCATACTTGTGTTCCTCCACCAGGTATCTGGACATGCTGTCATAGATCATCTAAGACAACAACAACAACAATTTCAGTACTAGTCCCAAAGCACTGGGTCCAAAATACACAACTGAAGTCTCTACTTGACTGCTTGTGGATGCATTTAAGTCATCCACTTAGTATAGACCACTCAAAAATGTAAGTTTTAAATGTGGTACTAAATACATTTATAACCAGCAAATTTACCTTATTTCAAGCAAAATTATCCTGATTTTGTATCTTCATTGCTTGCATTCTTTGTCAATTGAAACTGTCAGTTTTGTCACCAGTGTTTCCCCGTAATGGCTGCTACATATAGATGGGACTTCTAGGTACTGTTTAAGCTTCTATCCTTGCCTGGTCAACTGAGCCCATCCCTGTGATTTTGCCTTAAGCCCTGTTGCTTAAGGGCCTTTCAAGTTTCATGGGGGCTTTGAAGAAGACAACATTTCCTAATGGGACCCTGGGTGTTGGACCTGGTCCGAACGAGCTGGCCTGTGTAGGCCTTGGAACAGTCTGGGTTCCAGGTTATGTGAGTGGGTGGAGTTGTGGGTGTATATTTGGCGGAGGATATGCCGTGTTATTTATAAGAGTTGACAGGGCCAAGAGTGCCTGTCGCCGCTCAAAATCGCAATCTTATTCGAGATATCTACACTACTAAATACAACCATAACGTATCTAAAATGGGATCAACGAAAAAGAAGTAAAATTTCTTAACAAAATGAAGACTGTCGTACCACAGTAGGCGGGCGGAATTACATAAACGTAACGTTTATATTAGAAAATACCGGCATAAAATTTATCTTTGCCCCCCTCCCCACCGCTACGACACATCTCGACCACAAAACCACAACCTAGTTTTAGTCCTAAACATCTGAAGAATCCGACAAGATTACACACAGGGATGCCTGGATCTTACCTCGAACGTTTCCGCTACCTTATAGCGGCACAAGGTGTGGTCCAAATCCAAACCCACGGCGTCAACATCGGCGAAAGAAAAAGTGTGACCGGCGTCCGCCATTTTTGCTGTGTTTGTCGGGTCAGGGGTTACACCGGTGAGAATCTGGCCCATGTTTTGTTCAGAACGCCGTGTTTTGGTAAACATTACAGTTGAAATGGCGGTTAGTGGTAAAAATTGATCCTGTGCGACCCAGAAAGAGTACCCAACCGCTCACTTTATGGGCGACAGTTGGGATAATTGACCAAGGGGCATCATAGGTCATGTGGGGTCAAGATGCCTTTCTTTGAGATGACATGCACATCCATCTCTGGTGCTGTGTTCCGAACAGCCAGACTGGACTCAGAAGTTTGGTCTTTCGAGAGTGGATTCATCCCTCAAGCTGTTCGGCATCTAGCACACCGCAGTCATCCCTTAGTATGACATTTGGAGCCGCGTACAGTATTTCCGTCTAGACTAGACCTTTATTGAGGTCACGCCCTGTTTCGCGAGTGGTTAGTTATGGTTATATCGATACAGCAATTAAATAATTGTGCTCAAGTATTTTGTTGTTAGTCTATTATCTCTAGTCTACAAGTAGGCTGACAGATGATGCCGCAGCGCCGTCATGTTTCTCAAATACCGGGACGCCATGCCCTTTTTATTGGCGACGCCTCAGGGGCGGAGGCATTTATTTTGAGTAGAGTGTATGGAAGGATTCAAGCCATATATGTCCAATACAGGGTTGCCGGTGAAACCTCTGTCCGTGACTGGAAATAATTTATGAAATGAAATAACGTTACATAACATTTATTTTTTAATACATTTGTCGTGGCTTGGTTGACTGACAACCAATTACTTATTCGCTAATCAGTTAATTTAGCTGGCTAGCTAGATGTATGTTCATGATGTTGTGGATGAAGAAATATGAATCATCTAGTCCTACCTGCTGAAATGGACCAACTTACCTCACAACCAGCGCTTCTCTTCTCTTCTCTCACGTGAGTTGCTGAAGATATGGTATGTTTTCATATTTTTTTCCACAAAAATATACGCGCATCCACCCTCACAAACGCATATGTGCTCAATTACATCCACGAGACAAACACTAGGGCATCTGCTATGAGACGAGAAAAATGTTACCAGACGATGTTAATTGCATGACTAGCATTTCCCAATTCAATTATTTGGATTTACAAAGTCAATCACCTTGTTCCAAGCTTAAAGAGATGTTCAGACAGGCATTATGTCTAGTAGCATAATTAGCGCTAAATCTCCAGTTCCCGAACACCTGCACCATAGCGTCATAGGAAAATTGAACGTATTATGCTGGTAACCGTGAATTCCGACCCTGGTCTTAATGGTCTACTCTGTGCAATGCCCTTGCCTTCGCCACATTTATAATAACCTTTCAACCATGATCCACATTCCTGATAAAACTTAGATGAAGCATTAACTGATTTCTGTTAAATCTCGCAAGTTGGAATTGAGCTGACACGATATTGGACCAGATAAAACTAATATAATGGGTTGTTGATATCGATTGCAATATCCAGATAATTCTTAGCCACAATTATATTACCGGTATTATACACGTACAGATTATGCATACTACACCATGCAAATTTCTTTCATAGAGTTTTAAGATGTGAATCTTGGGCAAAGTGTCCACTAGAACAAAGAAAATTGTTTGCATGTTGGTAATTTTATCGCCATGATTAAGTTGTTTGGCAAACTGCACGTAAGTTTGGCATAACACGCCGCGTATTCCTGTATATCTTAGTAACCTGCGGACTGACTAAAGTACAGTCCGATCCAGCCGATAACATACCCGCCGGTGTTTAATATACCCCCGGTAGTCAATATTCATTTATCTCGTCTGACGGACCGTTCATTGCTCTGTAGTTGAACGACGCTAATGATAGATAATTTATTCCTCAATAATGACTCCTATTGGACAAATTACCTTCCGTGTAAATTGAAAATAAGAAATTACATCAATGAATATGTTGACGTCCATGTCAACAGCCAATGAGCATTGATTGATTATCAGTATTGAGGTTTTAGTTGTTAACTTCTTAGCTGTCTTGGCAGCAGGGTTCAAGTACGTATAAATGGGGATTACGTTGATCCTTTACTAAGTTACCTCTTAGAAGCTAAATTTTCCATAATCTCTCTAGGTTCGTATTTCAAAATGTGTTGGATATAAACAACACATATGTATGTATACATTCTATTCATGCAATTAAGTCAGTGTTTAATATCTAACCGTAAGAAATTTACAATTAAAATGTCCCCATTGTCAAAGGTTCAATGGTTTCTTCCAAATTGAGGTACATAAGTTAAGAAATGTGCCCAAACTAGCCCCAGAGCGGCAGTGTAGTGCAGGGATCCAACCGGGAATCCAGTGCACCACCTCTCCGTGATGACCATCGTTTTTTGCCCGTTTTGCTGACTTGGAACCATCCTGGTTTGCGCGTTAGGAAATTTTTCCTAGTAGACCAGGTGTTATCAACGACATGAAGATGAGGATATTACATTTCCTTCTGCTGTGGATTGCTGCAGTGTCGGCTGAGAGGTAGGCGCGGGCAGATTTTTTATACCAACCGCCACTTTGTTTTCCAATAAAACTTTACACCGGGCAACATTTGTAATACAGATTTCAAAAACATTTTTCTTTCGCGCAATAATTATCATGAGGTGTACCTGCTGGTAATATGCGTATCACTTTATTCGTTAATCGTCTCAGAGAATATGCGTAAAAACATGCTTAGTTATTTACCCTATCAATGACCCTAACATCAAGACTACCTTGCAATGATTTGCAATGATAACTCCGAGCTTGGTAATGCTGTCCCCTCCCATCCATTTGTCATCTTTCGATACTTTTAAGTTACAAGTACAAGTTGATAGTTTATACCCAAGCTTCACTTGGGGGCGTGTGTCGTAACGGAGTGCTCGAACTCGGAACCGAGGTCCCGGGTTAATTCGAGTCCTGACATGCCACCGATCTTGTGCTGGGAAATGCATTTAACACGACTTTCCTCACTTAACTCAAGTGAAAATGAACATTGTCCTGTCCTGTATTTGTCTGCGTTGGTGGCGGCATCAAATAAGTTGATATAACTTGATTGTGCCGTGACCATGTCTAGTCAAGAATACCTGGCTTGACATTCTGCGATGTATTATAGGAGTATTTCTGTATCAGTGCCTGTTGGATGTTTGCTATGTACCTAAATGGATACAAATCGTGAATGAAATTCTGTGATTTTTTTTTCAGCATGAAGCACGGACGGGCCAAGCGAAGTTCAGGTAAGAGACGTTATAGAAGAGATCAAATATACGATATTTTGCAATGACAGCACGGCTACTGGAAATAGTAAACCATTTGTCGCAAGTAACCTTAATACACCATGGACATGAAGAAGAAAAGAAACGAGGGAAGGGCAGATTAACCATTCCCCTAATGACCCCCATACCATCCCATGGTCCCATTTCAGTTGTGTGGTTTAACGTTTCTTCTCTACATTCAAAAGTTATAGAAGTCATCTTTGTTCTATCTGCTTAGAATATTTCAATTTCATTTATTTAAAGTTTTGGGGTGGTGGGACTTTTGCGCACAGTTATGTCAACTCGCTCTGTTAAAATGTTGATTGTATTTTGTTGTGTGGCGCTTTAAAAATAAGTTTTAAAAACTTGAAGCGCCACATGGTCCTTGTTATTGTATTGTTATGTGTTGATGAATAGAAAAAAAAATGTGGAAATCTTGACGAGTATTATTGGCAGCTAAATTCCTCAAAACCATCCACATTCCGCGGGAACAATGACTGATTTCCACATGCCTTGTCCTCCACGATTTTCCGCCTTGACAGCACAGAAAGTCACGTACGACATCCTATTGTAATTAAGTCGAATTCCAGATTTGTTAGAAAATAGACCCCTTCGAAAAATGTAAAGCATATACCCTTAGGTATGCTGACAGTTATGATAAGTCGCACAGACTTGTATGTAAATCCACGTTGAATAGTGTAGTTACAGAGGTTAAACGTCTCCTATGTCCTCAGGTGGCACGCAGACACACACAGTCGATGTAAAGGGCAATATAAAAAATACAAGATTTTAAAACCCCTAAGCCTTTTGGTAACGGCAATGTCATGCCTAGCCATATAGGTGAAAGGCTACATAACTTTGTCGTTTGAACTTGGCCTGTGCTCATTAGACATTTGTACGTGGCACCGGCCGGTACGTACCCTTCCAACAGAACAAACTACCACCAAGACGACAAGACTTGCTCTATAGCATGCTCTATTTCATGCTTGCTCTATTTCATGCTCGTAATCCATAGCTTAGAAGGAATCTGCTGTAGAGCTCAAAATGTAATCCTAAGGATTTTGGCGAAGATGTGTGGAAAAACAACGAAAATCCATCCATTCATAGTTGTCCTGCGGTCAAGTGGTGGCGGCGCTTGACAAGTGGTAGCCAGGTTGATAACCCTGGCAATAGTAGTTTTGTTTGTCTGGTCTACACAAGATAAATTGACAAAAGCTGGTTTCATAGGCTTGCAATTGCTTGCCAATTGAAAACCCTGTCTTACATGTAGTGAAACCAGGTTTAGCAGTAGCACAGATGAGCTAATGAACTGACGAACTAAGTCCCTTGGCTAATGAGTTAATCTGTGTGTGTTTTGCATCTACAATTCTTCCCTCCCCAGGCCCTACCCAGATCACCGGAGTGGCCCCCCACGTCGGGAGTTTGAACGGCGGGACGAACATCAAGATCTTCGGACGAAGTAACTTTAGTTCAAGTCTCAAATAGCTCTGAAACAGAACATGACCTGTACATATATATATTAACTAGCTTTTTCTTATCGTTTAGAACTGGGCGTGTCCTAGCCTGAATGCTAGCCATTTTACTTAGATGCAGTATGCTCTCTCTACCAGGCCTCTGACCAAATAGACAGATTCTGTCTATTTGGTCAGAGGCCTGGTAGAGAGAGCATACTGCATCTAAACATGCTATGGAAGTTGGTGAGCTAAAGGAGTACGTTCTGACTGCCCCCGCGGCTCATAGCTATGTGACTGAGTGAAGTGAGGATACATCGTGTACGCATACGAAGGAGGGTTTTCGAATTCGCAAAAGATTCTGCTGTACGTCGTAGATTTGAGATGAAACGGGTGCAATAAGTTTAAGTATAGCCCTCGGCGTACGGTACAGTTATCGCAAAAAAAAGAAAGAAAATGAAAACATCGTAGATACATCGATACGATGTATGTAACAGGGGCTTAACGTATTATACAACATATCTCCTTGCAAGTGCCAGTGGAGCTGTCATTTTGTCCCACCAGACATCCCGGTGGATTTCAGCATGACGTTCTCTGTGATCCGTGTGAAGTTCCTGTCCGCTACCCACCAGTACACGTGCGACGTAGAGGAGACTTCCATCAGCACGGGGCAGATAGAGTGTTACACAAGGTAATGAAGTATTCGTGCGATTGCGAGCACTGATTTGTCTCTTAGGTTTGTACCTGAGTTACATGCATTTCTATAATACATTAAACAACTTATGATGGTAATGGATATTTATGTTTACCGAAGGAAAACATATTGTTTTTTCTACGTTTCCTCTTCTTCTCCTAATCAAAAATGGTCAATGACTTGAACCAGACTGTTACAATGGTAACTAGTGTTGGGTTACATCATGTTGCAATTTTATAGCAGGGGGGATTTAGACTTCTGTCTGACCATATATATGAATGTGTGTTGAGAAAGATTTAACAGAGCATATGCTAAGGTAAACATTATGCATTTGCTTAAGCAAATGTTACCTTTCTAGTCTTAGTCATAAGTTGTGTATGCTTATGATGCAGAGCTATGCCATCAGGCGTGTACACCCCCCAGGTGACACTGTGTGCCAGTGCAGACGACTGCCAGGACATCCCATGTCTGGGGGAGGACGAGGGGGATTGTACGTTTGAGGTAATGACCACAGCTTTACACACGCAAACTGGGATTTTACTGTACGAAAGCCTATTGATGGTAAGATTCAATATCAGATCATTATTAAAGATGTATAGGAACACTTGATATCTATCAAAAAGTGCCGAAACACATATTAAATGTTCAGCCTCTTATTTACAGACGAAAGCCCAGAAGACACCTTACATCAAGTCCGTCACTCCTACTACGGGGTATCCAGGTAAGTACATCACAAAGAAACGAGAAGAAGCAGAACGTCTGTATTAGTGTAGTTTTAGAGCTGATGTAGTTAGATTAGTATCAGTAGTCCTGTTTGTACTACAAACATTTATATACCTTTTCATCTGTTCACCTGTACCCCGATAGGGCATAAATGTACAGCCCGATAGGGCATAAATGTACAATAAAGGTTATCTACTAATTACGTATACTTTGCAGGAACCTTGCTGACCGTGTACGGTAAAATCATCACGGAAATGTTCGGCAGTGAGACGGGCGCGACCCTCAACGGCCGGACGGAAACCATCAAACGGTGAGTTCGATGTTCCGTCTGTTTTTTTCAAGCAACATATTTAAAAAGTTATAATAAATGGCTAATTCTGGTAACTCTAAACTTCATTGCCTGTCATTCTGTCAGTTCCTGTCAGTTTGCATTGAAAGTCAGTCTAGCATATAAAATATAATTATTGAAATAAATGTAGAACACAGGCAAGCAAACAAACAGACACTTCATAGAGGTAACAAAACAGAGTCCTGGATTACTTGTGTTAGTCATTTGATAAGAGTTTTTAAAAAGTCTTAACATTACAAAGTTCCTTTACCATCAAAAGCTGACTTCTAGCCATAATGTTGACCTACTATCTTTTATGAATGAATCAGTTAATAATATGTTTCATGGTTTATCTCCTCAGCTGCTACCTGGATGGTGCTGGACAGACGTGTGAACTGAGAGACGCCAACGGTGACATGTAGGTCTTGATTCTACGGTATTTAGAGACTTAATCCCATCTCATCCAGCTCTACTGTTATTGGAGGGAAAGTTATCAGCCAATCACGTTGCCTTTTGACCAAAGGCGGCGACGTGATTGGTCGCTGACGGCTGGAAAGAGCTAGATCGAATCGCATACAGGCCAGCTTATACCATGCAGGGCCATTTTCTTGGCTATTTGCAGTAGGCTTGGCACAAGAGGAAATCTCACAATGAATGTATATACTGCTGTTTATGGTTTGGTAAGTTTTCTTTATGTTTAGGTACGGAATCGAGATGGACGATGAGGGTGAAAGTATATGGGGAACATTCAAGGCGATGCCTCGGGGCAAGTTCGTCGGTAAGCTATCCGGGGATCCTTCATTACCGAACACGGTTTGCATAGTTCACTTACTTAACAACATTGCCATCTACCAGGCGTCTTTGTAAGAGATAAACTTTGATTAGGAAATTGTCTATATGTTGACGACTTCTACACCATTTCACTTTCTAATATTGCTCTTGGTTTACAGGTCATCAGAACATCAGTATCATCGTTAGTGACACTTACGGAAGGTAAGAAATGCAAAGTGCCAAATACTGTGTACATTGCATTAAAGAGTTATGTTCAGCAAGTTTGGTTAACAACATTTCAATTATATATATATTAATGGATTCAATTTTCTCAGTCACTGATTGTAAGTCGTTGCCCCCCCCCCATCCAACAAAGGACTAGACTACAGACTTTTATGAATTTTTTCTTACTCAGGTCCGCTGGAACTCCGGAAGCGAAACGTGTTAGCGCCAATATGAAGATGTACAACTTCCAGACCTATGCAAGTAAGTGCCAACATATATGATAAAACGCCATGTTAAGTTAATGACACATTATGTTTATGATATAATGATATCGATAACTGATAAGCTGTTATGGATTTCGACACTATCTTCGATACTATGCTGACTGTTTATCTTTTTTTCATGTAACCAAACTGTACAGTATGTTAACAATAAAAAAACAACGGAAAGGCAGGTAACAAATGTGTATGTGTGTGTGTGTGTGTGTGTGTGTGTGTGTGTGTGTGTGTGTGTGTGTGTGTGTGTGTGGTTGGGTTGGGTTGTATGCTATGACAATGACAACATTGATTTGCTCTGTTTATTCTAGAGGTGAGTTCTGTGAGTCCCAGTGTCGGCAGTACGGAGGGGAGATCCACTATTACCATCAGTGGGGACTGGTTCGACTCGACCTCACAGCTAGCAACAGTCACTGTAGGAGGTAATACATGTATATATAATGTGTATCTCTATCGTATAAATGTCTATCGCAGTTATAATTGCTTATTTATATCTTTGTTTGTCTAAGTGGTGTATCATTAACGTACATCTGGTAGTCAGATATGAATATGGCCAACATTAAACAGAGTTGCCAGAATCACATAGAAAATTTTGTACTTGGTTTAGGCAAAGTCCTGATTGTATGATACTATTTGTAGGTGAGGAATGTATGAGACAGGGAGACATAACAGACAACGAGATAGTATGCCTGACGCCGAAGAAACCAACTCACCAAGCAGCCTCCTATGCAGGTACGTCTACATACATTCTAATCAAAGTCATTTCTCAAACTACATATAGAAATAATAAGAAGGGCAATAAAACTTGATGACATTATGCATGTGGTACCAATTTTTTTTGGGGGGGGGGGCAGAACCTTATGTTGCTAGCTACCAATATTCAGTACTATCCCAGTTCTCTATCATTCCTTTAGGCCATGTTGATTTGATTATATGGATGACATCCGCGCGCGCATGAATTTTCGGCCGTTTCCAAAAAAAAAGTTTTCAACCATACTGTAAATCGTACAAAACAGTTGCAAAATGAGCAAAAATATACCATAAATTACAAAAAAATTAATAAAAACTATACCAATGTCGTAGAATGCCAAAATCAAACGAAAAAAGACGAAATTGTATAGAAATGAACTTGAAGACTAGATTATTCGCCAAACCATATTCTGTGCCATTTGCTCAACCCTGATGACCACGTAGATTTCATAATGAAAAGAACTTTTTTTTCAAAACTTTTTTTTTATTCGCACGCGCGCATCAGTTTTGGGGCTCCCGGAGGATGTCATCCATATAATCAAATCAATCAACATGGCCCTACCAGTAAAACAGTGCAAACTCAAATCACCAAATTAGCCGATCCAGGTACCTTAAATCCTCTAAATCTTGTGTGGAAAGTAGTATACTTGCAAGATCTATCCAGGTGGCACTACAGAATATTTGCGTGAATTGATCTTGAAATTTTCCCGTCAAAGGAAACCGCGGTGTGTACCGGGAGGTTTGGGAGTACCCGGATGTAGAGTCCATGCCTGCCCTGACCGACCTGCCGGTCACTGACCCTACGGAGGCTCCTGACTGGACAGACAGCTTCAGCTGGACCAACCGTTCTGAGGTAACATTTACAGGTCTAACACTTACAGGTCATCGTTCCTCCGGGTAATTGAGGATGACATGCCGTCTGTAGTTTTCAGATATTGGGTAGGAAAAGATGGCTTATGCAATTTCGATGCAGTGTTGACCGAACATTTTTGCGAAAGCACAGTAGGTAGCGACTGCATAGTACCCAATATGTTTTTACAATAAAGATGTACAAAAAATACGTGGTGTGAATTTAGATGACACAATTTCTGTGAGCTATTTCGTTGATACGTTTTTTTTAATTTTCTGTCGGCAGAGCTATATCTCACGCATGAGGGGTTTCTTCATCCCGCCCAACGACAACGACTACCAGTTTGTCCTGTATGACTGCAAAACGCCCTCTGACGATTTCATCTTGTACTTCAGTCCGAATGGAGATGAAGATGATTCGGTGAGTTTGTCGTATCTCAGTCTTTCCGTTGACACTGTTGATCAAAATGAGTCCGAGAATTTAGTTGTTGGAGACGTAATTCTGTTCATTAATATATCAATGCATTGTGCGTTTGAGCGTTTGTTAAGCACATAAATTGATCATTTGTTCCTCACACTGAAAACATAGCTTGCATTATCAATTCAGCACCAAGGACAGGGCCAGTACCATAGTCTATTAGTCTACCTACTGGACATCGTCGCTGTATGATAATACTAGAAATACGTATGGACTTGAATTTCCGCAAACACTGAGAAGTTATCATTCTCACAGCCGGTCGTGCTAAGTTGTCCGGAGTCCGGTCGCCGCTGGTCAGAGAGGTACTCACTGACCGGAGGAAAAAGGTAAGTCGTCAAGAAGCACACTTGGTACTACCATGCACCAAGAGGCGGTTTTCTATAGACTTATTTGGTCACCTAGGCCCTAGTCCCTTGTGGGATCGTGTGGCGCAATCGGTAGCGCGTTCGGCTCACACTCCAGAGGTCGTGGGTTCGAACCCCACCTTGTCACCGATCTTGTGCCCTTGGGAAAGGCACTTTACACGACTTTCCTCACTTCACTCAGGTGGAAATGAGTACCTAGCTTTGGCTAGGGACGTCCCTCGGATAGGACGTTAAATGGAGGTCCCGTGTTTGGGGAGAGCCACACCCCACGCACGTTAAAGATCCCACCACACCTTTCGAAAAAGAGTAGGGGCATGCCCCGGTGTGCGATGGTACAAACACTACTGCATGGAGTTGGTGATTCACTTCAAATCACCCGAAGGGAGGCCTGGCGAACCTCTGTTCCGTATCAGCATGGTGATTACATCACCACACATGGTGATTACATCATCACCCGGACGGAGGCGTGGCGAACCCCGTCTTGTATTAAGCTAACGAAAGGGTATGCCACCTCGTAAGGGGCGGTATAACCCCGACCGAATACGGTCGACCGATGATGATGTAGGCCCGACGAAAATATATGATAGGAAATAACTTGTTTTCCTTGTTTGGAGAAAGAGTAACTACTATAACTGTAATTAACTATAGCCCAAAGGGAATACAGTGAAAGAAATAGGAAATAGTAATTTTGCTACTGATATTATAACTGATGTCTTTCTCATTTCACGAATAGTTCTATTATAATATAGTGTATGTTGCATTTTAGAATTTGATGTGTGTGTGTGTGTGTGCGCGCGCGCCCGCCCGCGTGTGTGTGTGTGTGTGTGTAAATGCTTTAATGCAATTCATTGTATACATCGTTTTGTAATCTACTGCATGTTCACTTGATAATACATGTTTAAATCTGAATTGAATAAAAGTTGACTAACGTAAATCATATGCTGACTTCCACTCCAGCTACTACATGGAGGTCCGCTACAGACACGAGTGGTCCAACGACACTCAGCAGGAGAGGGGCGTGGCCGTGAAGATGTTCAACACGGACTACGTGGGAGGGCAGAACTACCACGCACAGAGCGAGAAACAAGAGATCAAAATCACCTCAACCGTCAATCGTGAGAAACAGGTCGGGTGAAAATTGATGAACAACAGCTATTATATGCTCCTCTTTGTACTAGGTGTGTAGAACAAACATGTTGAGCATCTTGGTCCAGGATGTGCTGAAGGCGCATTATTGACGTAATGTTTGCATAATTGTATGTATAAGCCATATATTTCGCGTCATGATAATTATGTGTTTCTATCACATAGCGTCTCAGCCTTGGCAGTGATGTTGAAGACTTCACCCTTGAATATGGCGGGGTTCAGTCAGAAACTATCCAAGCCGGCGCCTCCCAAAACCAGGTGAGTTTCTATCCAGCCAAAAATAGGTGCAGACGATTGCTAATAACAAATTTTACTGGACCATATTTTATCTTACCAATGTGTGTGTTTCTTTCGGTCATATTAACTTATTTTATCTCACTGTACAACGTGATAGACTATAACAGCTAACTCATGTTGCTGCAGGTGAAGAGAAAGGTTGACAACATGTTCCAGACGTTGTGTCCTGACGAAGTGGCCAATCCCAACCAGGCTATCAGGCAGTTTGTCGAAGACTACGAGGGCGAACCTCGGCGACCTGAAACAGGCACTAGGGTAGGTGCCAACGGACAAGAACCTCTACTACATTAAAGACAAAGCCAATCACTTGGCACTTTTGACGAATTGCTTACGTCACGTATCCGTAAAGTCTCGTGTTAATAAGGTCACGTGTCTCTAACCGTAACTCTCCCGAGATTACGTTTTAAAGTAATTGATGATTTATTATCCTGATGAAGGCGACAGTTTTCGTTGAAAATTTTATCTGTGTAACCTTTGTGTTGGAATAAAGTTCAGCATTTTACTATGATTACTACCAACACACATGAAATTTCATGATAAAGACCAAGTCCTTCATCCTTAAATTATTAACTAGTTGTAAAATGATTTGAAACTTTATCATGTTTTCCAACTTGCAGGTAGAAGCTGATGAGGCCGAGCCCTTCTGTGGCAGAAAGTCTCTGAAGAATCCGTCCCGTCTGTACCGAAGCAACCGTGACCACCACCTCCGCGGCATCGACCCTAACATGAACAAAGTGGTAGGCTACATTCTATAGTTTTTTAAAACAACACTTTAAACACCTTTATTGTGTGACCAATGGTTTATATGGTACAGCGAAACTGGCTGAAATTGCATCGGATTGTTATGATGCAAATGGCAGAGACTCTCAATAATACATCTTGACTATGGCCCTTTTCAATACCCAATAGTATAGACATTCAGCTTAGTGGCCTGCATCCTTCCATGACATCATCCAACAGAGATGAATTCATAAAAAATCTTCTTTTATTCATTCCTCAGATGTGCTTTGCCTATAAGGGTTACATGGCTTCAAGAATCGGCTTCCGTTTCCAGTTTGACGGTGACGAAGAACAAGAAGAGGAGACTGCATGGTTCGGGCCAGAAAACGACACTAGTCTGGACTTCGCTGCCAATAGAGAGTATGTTTCTCTTGATCTTTGTTTCGATGCCGTTTAGTCCAAGAGGCTAATCTTCCAAGGTTCATACATGATAATAATAAAAACACATATTATACAACAGATATCAGGGTATCAACGAAAAACACTTGGTACAAAAAGAAATTTACATGTACAAATTAAAGGAACCCAATCTACATACTCTATGTTGTCACTTCATTTATTTTAATTCTCTTGTAGCAGAATTTTAAATCTTAGTTCAGGTTTTAATCATAGTCAATCGGTGCATATTTGCAAAAATCAAACATTTGCAAGCAGTCTGCTAACTTTTGCAGATGGCAGTACACCTGCATCAACCTCCAAACACTGTTCTCCAACCTACGACCGCTAGCATCCAACGTCAGAATCCAGGACATCCAGGTGGAACCGAAAGACACTGACGAGGAGACGGCTGACTACTTCATCGATAACTTCTTCATTGGGAAAGTGGAGCCCATGGCACCAGCAAGTAGGATAGAATTTGCATATATATGTCAGCACCTAACGCATAGGAATATATCCTATAGTTTGGAAACATATAGATATTTCGAAATCTTTGACAAAACAAAACAAGCAGGCTCAAGGGAGAGAACATTATATTACTTTGCATACATTTGCATTTGTTTTTATTTTAGAGTTTGTATATATATATGTCAGCACCCAACGCATAGGAATATATTGTATAGTTTGCAAATATAAAAACTATTTCTGAAATTTTTGACAAATCAAAACAAACAGGCTCAAGGGAGAGTACATTATATTAATTTGCATACATTTTATTTTGTATTTATTAAACAAACAGGGTCTCCTTCCCTTAGATGTAGCCATTAACCGCCGCCTGCCAGCTCAGCTAGGCGGCAATCTGGTAAAAGAAGTGGAAGTGAGCAGGGCCGACGGCGGATATGACATCACGTTCATCCCGTACAACTGTGGACACAGCTTCCCTCTCATGAATGCGCAGGTATGGCACAGACAATCAACATTAGACATAACTTAGCCGTTTATAAATGAACTGTTTTGTTTAGAATTCCTTTATTGGCAATAAAAAACGTCATTGAGTTATTGAACAAGCTTGGGGTAGAAAGCTATGAATGGTTGGTGATATCTCGGTGATAATTTGTTAGGCCACTGAATGGTTTAGTTTGCAAAACCTTGTATTGAAAATGACCAGTAATTAACTTCAATTGTGTTTATACAAGTTTATGTTTGTTGTCAATTACGAAATACTGGTATGTAATATATTTGTGCAGGTGACTTGTACTGGAGATTGTGATGTGAACGTTGAACAACTGCAAACGGCGAGTCTTCCCGTACAGGGCAGCTTTGACGTTACTTTCAATGGTAGAGTTGCCGCAGGTAAGAATGTACATTTTTGAACACCCGTGTCCAGTTTATTGCCAGATTACTTACCACCCTACCACATTACTGTGTGTACGCATGAAATTACCATGAAGTTGAGTTCTGACTACGATATTTACCATACTTACGATTTTTCCCAAAGTTCCTGCAAATGCCACAGACGAGGACCTCGTAGACATCTTGAAGCTCGAACTCGGCGTTGACGCAAAGGTCGAACGCGAGGGGGAATGTTCCGGGTACAAGTGGAAAATCGAATGGCTGCTCGATGGAGGTGACAAAGCTGATCTTCAGGTCTGTAGTTTTAGTAGTTTTAACTAAACTAAAATCTAGTTTAGTTACTATGTATGCGTGAATCAACATCGTGGTGTATTGGTTGCATGATTGTTTTTCCTATGGTCTGACTTCACAGGTGGATGGAACAGACTTGACAGGAAACGACGTGAAGATCGAACAGAGTACCACTAACCATGGCGGTCTGTGGTTCTACCCTATCCCGGGTGACATGCTGCGTACCTGGCATGATACACCACAGGTGGACTGTTTTGTTTTACACGTCGTCCTTTTTTGAACAATCAAATGAACGTCGACGTATGGACATGTATGAAACCTGTGTAGGTTTCATCGTCTTCGCTGTCTTTTGAAAAAAAATGTAGATTGTACTTGAGGCCCAGACGTTGATTTTAGTACCTGTTCTGCTCCTTTCAACGAATGTGAATGTATATAAAATGTATGTTTGGTTTTAGGTGGAGGTGTCTATCAACAACATTCCATCCCGATGTGAGGGAGATTGCAGCTTCTCTTGGGCAACAGCCAACACTCCAACGATAACAAATGTGACGCCAGCACAAGGTAGTATCTTACTACTTTTACTTACTAGTATCAACAATGACGTTCTATGTTATTGAGTTCTGGAGAGGATATCTTTCCTCTGCGTTAAGCACTGTGACAACTAAGTGTAAAATCGGTTTATGAAAGTTTTTGACATGTTTGATATTTCGTTGCAGGAAACGTAGGGGCTGAAGTTGAGATTTCCGGTACTGGCTTCAGCACCAACTGTAGTGACATGAGAGTGGTCATTGGTCACATGGGGGATACTGACGAAGGCGCGGTCTGTGAACCAACTACCTGCACCTCAAACTCCGTAACATGCACAGGTAACACATGTAAGATTTTTATGCGTTCAAAGCTGCCAAGTAACATTTTTACTACCCGGTATAGCAGGAGGTTGGGAAGAACTGTTAGCTCAATAGCTATTGTTCGCTTGTGCATTTTAGATTCCGAAGTTAGAGCCCCCTACTTTGTGATCAAGGATTGCAGACCAGTAGACCACAAAAATACTATCAATTTTTTCAGTTGGAAGCTGTGGACGAGGACAGCATACTGTGAAAGTATACGTGTTGCCACATTGGAATGATCCAGATATAAATACCAACGGGAAGGCAACAGGAGATGTGACCTTCAACTACTTTGGAGATGTCACCGGGATCAGACCAACAGCTTCTGGGCTTGGAGGTATTTATATGTTTTGACATAGCGTCTGCTTCAAAACTTAATTTTTCAGTTAGGAACATGTACAATGTATGTATTTATCTTTAGTGACATAAATATTCTCTTGTCCACAAGACAGTGGAGTGGATTGATAATGTAAACGCTGTATCTAAATATTTTGGCCCATTTCTATCTATTTTAGGTGGTATTGAGTTGACTATCACGGGATACGGTTTTGCTGACGATGACGTACCTAGAGTTGGTGGACAGGAATGTGACGTCATCTCCCGTAACAACGAACAGATCGTCTGCATTGCACCTCCAGGGGTGAGAAATAGATAATCTCACAGTACGATCTAGACAGGTCTTTTGTTCAATTATATTTGCCAATGACTAATCCAGATGTTTTTTTAATTACCTCTGATGTAATCATACAAAGCTAACACTGAAGTCTGATATCAATTAATTACCATTAAAATTTAGGTAGATGCAGTGTGTTGTCTTGGAACAATGATATGAAGACGTGAACTAATTTCTGGATTTTATGTTGTTGTTAGTCTGCAGGTAGTGTAGATGTGACCGTCAGCGGTGCAGGTGGTGTCGCCATGGCGGCTGGAGATCAGTTTACATACGACGCCGGTCTGACCCCCATCATCACTGGGTACTCTCCGAGCAGAAGTGGGGTAAAAGGTAAGTACAAACTACATGTAGTCTATCATGAAATATAATACTAGACATTTGCATAAGGTAGCATTTGCAAAGCAAATGCATAATGTGTACCTTCGCATATGGTTTAATTCTTACTCAAATATATTCATATTGATGGTCAGACAGGAGTATAAATCCCTCCTACTGTAAAATTGCAACATAATGTAACCCAACACCAGTTACCATGGTGACAGACGTCAACAAATCAGGTCATTGGCCAGGCCAGAGGTCAGTGTTTGGAACGGAAGAAGAAGAAACGTACTAAAACGATATGTTTTTCTTCGGTAAACATAATAATATACTATGGTTAAGATGGGTAACATCTGTACAATATGGTATGTTTGAAAACGTTGTAATCTTTCTTTTTTCATTGAAGGTGGAGAGACTTTGACCATTGAAGGTTCTGGGTTTGGAAATTCACCATCGATTTTCTTAAGAGGATCCGGGGGAACTGTGGAATTTGAAACAGGTACCTAAATTTCGAATTTGTGTTTCATTCATTCATTCATTCATTCATTCATTCATTCATTCATTCATTCATTCATTCATTCATTCATTCATTCATTCATTCATTCATTCATTCATTCATTCATTCATTCACACACGTATCTTACCAACAATCCATCAATGCAATATCCCTAGATGATAGTTATGATAAGTAGCATTTTAGATATCCAGATAAGTCCTCAGCATTTGATATTTGACAGGGTTACTAGTCGATGTACGATGAAAATGATAAATACAATTTTACCTCACCCCTACAGTTGTGACAGGCTCTGGGGTGACATATACTCTACCTGCCATGGCGCCAGGAACATACGACATCCTGCTGCACGCCGATGGGAGTGGGTACGGCGTCATGGATGGGTGAGTCATTACCTTTGCCAGAAAGGTATGTTTTCGGTTTGGCCATCACAGAGTTCATCCCCTTTGATCCTGTGTTGAATCCAGTGTTGATTCGGTGTTGACCCGGTGACCTTTGATCTTTTGTTGATCTAACTGTTGAAAATCTTCAAGTCTTCATTTAGTCTTTAAGCAGTTTATCAGGGAGTTTTTTTTGCTTTTTTTAGATCGACGTCTTTCCCGACTGTTGAGTATGTTTTGAGTGTGACGGGGATGTCCCCGTACCGAGGCTCTCTATCCGGCGGGACGCTTGTGGGACTCTCTGGGGAGGGTTTCAGCACAACCGCCGGGGAAAATACAGTCATGTTTGGTGATACAGTTTGCGAGGTAGGTTAACGTTGAACTCTGCATAAATAAATGAATCCAAGTCGTAGTAAAAATATTTCTGAAAAGATTATGATCGTTAACAAGATTCAGATACGTAAAACCATTCAAAGCACAACATTACCATACTAAGTTATCATGTATATACTTTTTACCTCAATTAAGAACGAATGTTAATCATTAGTATGTCTATATGAACATGTCATTATTTAGCAATTGCCATGTTTGGATGTTCTTCGGCATCGTTTTGTCAGGATGTAAAAAAGTTGTGTCGCTTAATCCACACAGGTCTTGTCCAGCTCCTCTGTGGAGGTCTGGTGCCGGATGGGAAGTGCCGGAACACGTCATCTTGTAGACAACAGTGGGACGGATCCAAGTAAGCATCAATGACTCATGTTATGTTTCACTCATATTTACCAACCTGGCAACATGTCATTCTGAAAATGAAATCATAAGAGTTATTTTAACTTGTTTTCGTCTATCGTTTCGCAGACTTCGGAGTGGGCTACGCCTGGAACCCAAGAACCCTGACCATCGAGGCAGGAGACACTGTGGTCTGGACCTGGTCTCCTTACACACAGGGTGTGGGCTTCGCTGTCATGCAGACAACTGGGCCAGATGGTGAGCGAGCAGAAAACGGCTTCTCCAGTGGACCAAAGTCAAGCAAAGGTACGTATAATGTTATAACCTTTAGTATAACTTATATAAGCAAATGGTCAGTAATTTCATGATAGCAGGGAACTGTAGTTTCAAACATAATTAGCCGCGTCAAACTCGTGTGTTCTTTTTCTTGTCAGGCTCCTTCTCCTATACGTTCAATGCCGTGGGTGAGTTTTACTACACAAGTGGCTGCGTTGATGAGAAATGTGACATCCTGATGCCTGGTAAGGTGGAAGTCGTCCGGGCCTTGGACCGCGCCGAGACCATGTCATTCAAACTCAACGGCATGGAGGCAACATGCAGTCCGAACGGGGTAGGACCAGGTAAGCAACCCAGGTTTTCATACAAGTAACTGCCTTATGTAAATGTATGCAGACTTGACATGCTTATATGATCAAGATGTATGTGTACATGTGATAGCCTCATACGTGACTGTGCACGTTGCTGGCAACAAAAAATCATACATTTTCTAACTATTTACTTTATCATGCTCCAATGAGTTTCATAACAGAACGTTGGTGACTCAAAACCAATTGGACACATTTTTATTTCTCCTCCAGCATCTAGTGACACCTGTCCAGGTTCAACAAGAGAAGTCCTAGGCTGTTCCGCTGATCAGCCTACTGCATCTCCGGGCTCTCCGTTCAACTTCGTCTTCCGCAACTGCCTGACGGCGACTGTCACCTCCCTCAGTCCTACCCATGGCACTGCCGGGGAGACCATCACCATCCAGGGGACCGGCTTCAGCACAAACGCTTGTGAGAATGAGGTTCTCATTGGTGGATACCCCTGTGATGTCACGTCAGCGACATCCAATAGCATCACCTGTCAGGTTACCCCTGGCAACGACATGCCGGTGGGAACCTTCCTACCAGTGACGGTGAACATCAAGAACCGTGGATACGCCAGGATGGCCATTCCTGGTGGTGAAGAGTCTCGCATGTTCGCTCTCCTTCCGGAAGTGACGTCTGTGTCCCCTGTGCAGGGTTCTACCGAAGGAGGAACCCAGCTCACTATTCGCGGGTCAGGATTCGTTTCTTCGATCGACAGCACCGCAGTCACAGTTGGAACCGTACCGTGTGACATTCAGTCTCTTTCTTACATCCAAGTAATTTGCATAACCCAAGCAGCTTCAGAGAGAACGAGGAACGTCAGCGTTACACAGACAACCAACGGACTTCGCGTGGACAGCGTTTGCGACCCTGCCAATGAAGACGCAGGATGCCAATATGCCTACCGGGTAAGTGTGGGATTGTCGTTTAAATTACACTCTAGCTGATGCATTAAGAAATCTATCTAAATATTGGACTTGTCTAGAAGCATAAAAAATAACTTAACACTTTCGATAGTCAAATAGCTATAGGAAAGGTCTGCATTGGGAAATGTGAAAATACAAAATTGTAACTGTGAAAATGAAATGTACATGATGTCTATGTCCTTAATGACTTAAGTTATGTTCTTAATGCTGCATCCGGCACCAATTCAGGTATATTGTCTATTATTGATGAGTAGAAACTGGGAGAACTTTCTGAGTGGTCAATATAAAAACTGTCTGATTGGTTCACAGGGCTCGCAAACACCACGCGTGTCAACCGTAAGCCCATCTACCAGCTCTGGATCTGCCACTGAGTTCACCATCAGAGGAATCTTGTTTGGATCTTCCAAGGAGGACATAACGGTCACTTTTGGAGGAACGGCGTCCTGTGCTGTTAGGTCGGTTACCGATGGCACCATTACCTGCACAGACGAGCACATCCCAGTCGGGAACCAGCCTGTCAGGGTGCATGTAGCCGGGCGGGGAAACGCAGCGTCAACCGCGCTTGTGACCAGCCTGGCTGTGATCAGCTCCATATCACCATCAGAGGGGAGTCTGGCCGGCGGTACGACATTGACCATCACGGGCAACGGTTTCGGCAGCGACACCAACGTTACCATAGGCGGACAGATGTGCGAAATCCTGTCTGTCAGCCTCTCCACCGTGATCTGTATCACACCAGGTAAATGTTTTAGAAATCCTCGATTTTCTAGTTTTGATTGGCATGATCTGGCATGATACTCTTATTGTGTCATTCCCTTCATTACATTTGCCAAAAATACATTTGCCTCATTTCATTGATGTTTGAAATGTCTACAGGTAGGGTTCTGTGTGATTTTCCCAATAATGCTGCTGCTCACTGATGGTTGACGTGTCTTCTTTTTTTTCCAGCAACCAACGAAAGTGACCACCTAGTACAGGTATCTGTGGTTTCGAATGGGCAGTCCTACCCCACACAAGACTTCACATACAGCTCAACCCTTACTCCAAGTGTGAGTGGTATCAACCCAGCCGAAGCCACCAGTGGGGCGTCAGTAACGATAACAGGATCTGGCTTTGGTCAAACAACAGGAGACAACGAAGTGTCGATTGATGGCGCTCCTTGTGTGGTTGACTCATCATCAGACACAGAAATCGTCTGCACACTCGGGGACCACATGGCCGGCAGTGACTACGCCGTGGACGTGACAGTCGCTGCCAAGGGAATGGCGAGGTCTGGGGTCACATTCAGCTACGAGTTGTCATTGTTGACAGTTTCACCTGGCACGGGTGAGAATCTCAATCATCTTATTTTGTATCTGCTTATCACAGATCACGTTGGAATTTTTTGGTGCAGAAATGCATATTTTGGTCATTTCACAATTTTTGTCATATTGTATCGTCCTGACAGGAAGCTTTGGTGGTGGTCTTACCCTGTTTCTGACGGGAACTGGTTTTGCCGAAGACGCGTCCGTCACCGTGTGTGGTCATCTCTGTCCTATCACCACCGTTAGATCCAGCCACATAGAGTGTGACCTTCCACCACATGATGGTCAGTATAGCTTTTATAATCTTTTGAAGACCTACTTTGAAGTAGTGACTTAAATAACACCTATAACATCTAATAATTTTCCTTGTTGGCTTATTATTATATTACCTGGACTAGGCAGTGGAACAGTGCGCTGTGATGTTGCCATCGTCGTCGGTAAAGAGACAAGAACTCTACCGAACGCGTTCACCTACGACAGCAGCCTGACTCCCGTCATCAGCTCCGTCTTCCCGGCCCTGGGAGGGACGGCAGGGGGAACCATCGTCACTATCACCGGAACAAATCTTCGGTATGTTTTCTATGGTTAATATTTGCTCTTTTTTCTTAAGATAGTTACTGTGGGGCCTCGTTCTCTGGACCGGTGGACACCATGTCTTCTTCTTCTCAATACGTGCACATGCACCCTCCATTGGTTGAGGGCTCCGGCACGGTGGGGTATGGGTACCATGATGTACATAATCTCAGATGGATATGATTACTGCCATACTCTCATCCTAGCTTAAAGCAAAGTAAATTGCCCGAAGAACCATATGGCAATGGGATACACCATTTCCAAACTGAAAGGTCATGGACAACCTTGGCTTTCAAACAAGTGTACGCCACATGATCTCTAAATGTCAGCCTCAACAAGACCCTTGTAATGAATACAGCACACACGTTTAATATTTTGTCATTTCCATTTACAATTCCAGTAACATCACAGGAGTATCCATAGCGGGAAGTGCGTGTGTGGTCTCCGGAGTACCATCGGATACTGAGATCGTTTGTGTGACTGGAGCCCATAACGGAAGCGTCAGGGCAAAAGTCAGGGCGGAGGGTATCAATGGAATTGCTACACAGGTAAGAGAGCTATGATAGGTTAAAATTTGGGTCATAGATAACATGCAATTAGAATATTCATGTGCTATGTGAAATCACGATTTCACTGAATTACCATTTGCATAGTCACAGGAAGAAATGCATCCTTAAACCGGTAATATAGATTGACTTAAGTCTTCTTTTCCAACTCGTGTGATTCTGTTTTAGTTCGGCCAATTGAGACAAATAGCAGCAGCCAAACCTGCAGTAATTGAAACCTCACGCCATTAATTGTTTTTATATTTTGTTCTAGGACAACGCAGACTTCTACTACGTGGACAGGTGGTCGTCAGTCTACACCTGGGGCGGGGAAAGTTTACCCGAGCAGGGAGACTTTGTCATCGTTCACGAAGGACAGACTTTACTGCTGGATACTGACACACCAATACTCCGAATGCTACTGATACAAGGTGGGGAACGTAAACATGAGTATAAAACTAAATGTCCAATAAGATTAAAGACACAGTGTACATTTACAGTGATTTTGATATTGGATAAAAATTTGAATCCATAGCGAAGTCGAAGATGACTGTCAGCGGTCTCATTTACGGGGGTGTGATCTCACGTGGCTTCAGAGTCCGAATCTGAAGACATACAGTAAAGAAAAGTACAGAAACTAATGAGAAGACAACACATCATCCATGCAGGTGGCACCTTGCTGTTCGATGACGAGAAGGATATCCACCTGCAGGCTGAGTACATCCTCATCACGGATGGAGGAACGCTCCAAGTTGGTACTCAGGAGAACCCGTTCCAACATCAGGCCACCATCACTCTGCACGGAAACCTGCGCTCAAAGGAGCTGCCCATTTATGGCGCCAAAGTTCTGGGAGTCAGAGAGGGAACACTAGACCTACATGGTATGTATTCTATTTTACTAAAAACGGGACGGGAGGCGGTATAGACTTCCGTAAGCTTTCCCCAATAATGCCCTGAGGTTTTGAGATCATGTAAAGTAAGTAGGTCACTTTTTGCGGAAAACACCAAACATTAAAACAATACGAAGTATCTGTAGAATGGGCATTGCTAGCATGTGATGTTTGAAAATTGGTCATTGTCTATTCTTGCAGGTTCGCCTGTTCCCGTCACATGGACCCGGCTGGCGAAGACAGCAGCAGCAGGGGCGCCAACGCTCGTCCTGGAGCAGCCGGTCACGTGGAAGGCAGGGGACAGCATCGCCATAGCAACGACGGGACATCGCAACAGCCAGGCCGAGACGGAAGTGAGAGAGATAGCGGCAGTGACTACAGATGGTGTGACGATCACCCTCACAGGTTGATATTTAATTTCCTTGTCATGCATTTCCTGGTCTTTTAAGAAATCTGCAACTTTCTTTTTGACGAATGATAAAATGTGTAAAGTCTAATGTTATATAACATTTTCAAATTATTATACAAAATATGTTTAACAAAAATTTTATATATACTCTATACTTTATATTATCTCCTCGCGTGCGTGAAAGATATTGGGTTTGGGGCAGCCAGCTGGGGTTGTGCGGCGGATACAGTAGCGGACACAAACAAATAATCTATCGCTTTATGAACGCCAGCGTCTGGCACCCAGGCTATATATACTTTGAATGATGACAGTGCTCTTGAAAAGTTGATATTATCCTAAACAGTATTGCATTGGCAAGCACCCACATGGAAATACACGCAGTGATTCGACATTATTCACTTGAAACTACTTTGCAGAGCCTCTGGAGTACGAGCACATCTCTGAGGTAGAGACGTTTGGCAGTGCAGGAGTGACGCTGGAGACCAGAGGAGAGGTCGCCCTTCTCACCAGGAACGTCGTCATCAGAGGATCCGATGATCCTTCTTGGCACGACCAAATCGAAGCATGCGAGGAGGGTTTTGATATTGGTATGACGCCATTTCTTGCCATATTCTATTAATATGAATACATGTAAGATGCAGTTACTGAAAACACAGTTTTAGGGTTATATTCGATCTTATTTAAATTTTACAAATCATCAAATACTCGAACTTCATTCGTTACGCACAAACATTTAGCTGTGGCGTGCTACTGCAAACAAATTTATTTATTATTTAAACTATTTGCAGTGGTTATATATGGAATTATGGTTTATTTACTGAACTAGATATAAGTAGGGATTTAAAGGATTTATGACTTATTCTTTTTTGTTCTTGTTGTTAAATAGGTGAGTCTGCAACCCAGACGTGCTTCCAGGGTCGGTTTGGAGAAGAGCTCGGTAGTGACCAGTTCGGCGGCCATGTTCTTCTCCACGCGTCAGAACCAGATGCAGGTCTCGTCACTGCTCGTATAGAACACGTAGAGGTGAGACTGATCATTCTGACATTTTTCTGTTATTACTTTAAGAGACATAGCTTTTTATCTCATCTATTTATTACGTAAATTTATTTTCACTGGAAAACGTGATAATTAAAAAAAGTCGTGATAATTCTTTCTCTAATACTTCCATATAGAGATTGTATGTAAAAAAATTGACACAACCTATCAAAAACTACTTTTTCCCTTAGAATAAAAATACGTACTAAATAAATGTGATAAATAATCAAGTCTACTTAAAGCGTTTTGCACATGGGAATGATTTTATGATAGACAGAACATCTATCCTACATGAAATTAGCATTGGTGTATGTGTTCTATGAACAAGTCTGGATATGAGCAAGTTATTCAACTTGAACAGATCTTCACATTTTGTCTAGTGGTTTGACCTCTTAGACACGTCTAGACTAGTTAGACTGACTAGGCGTTGGAAATATTGGCATTAAAGTTGTTGACAATTAGTAATTTTGAAATGCAATATCTTATTACAGTTCACGTACGTTGGACAAGCCTTCCGCCTGGGCCGCTATCCCATCCACTCGCATCTGAACGGTGACATGAGCAACTCCTACGTCCGTGGTAACGCCATCCATCGCAGCTTCAACAGGGCGGTGACCATGCACGGTACAAACAACCTGCTGGTGGAACGTAATGTGGCTTTCAACATCATGGGTGGAGCTTACTTCATTGAGGACGGCATTGAAACAGGAAACATCCTTCAGGTGAGGAATAACGAACAAATGTGAACATTCAGAATGTATCATTTTGCTTCAAGCGTTTATTCCTGCAATGTCAATGCCTACCAAAATGTATACTTGTGTTGCAGTATAATCTCGCATTGTTCGTGAAAGCCAGCACAAGTCTACTGAACGATGACATCACACCTGCAGGGTACTGGGTTACAAACCCCAACAACACCATTCAGGTATGAGAGTCAGTTCTCAGATCAACAATATATTTTCGATACCGTTTTGCTTCCAGTAGTCTACGTTTATTTTACCTTTTCAAACTTTTCTATGCAAACTTGTCATTGTCTTCGTCAGAAGGACTATGAAATTGTCTCGCCGGAGTGTGGGGAACTGCGGATTTTGCGATATAACTCTGGCAGGCATGATTCGACGTCCATGATTTTTGGCAGGCATATTACCGCTGTTGAGGCCGAAGTCAAGAACAAGTTTCGGCTTCGTGGGGGGTCCGTGCGTCACGTTAGTGCACCTTTTGTGTTTGTGGCTTGTTAGCAAGATAACTCAAGTATTTGTAAAATGTTGATTATAATTCTTGGTGTGGTGCTTACTATTGTCGGGACCAAGGTTAAGTTCATTACTGAGCTTCGTGGGGGGTTTCGTTGTGACAACAGGGGGCATTTTGTTAATTTTTCTTGTGAGCAGGATAACTTTTGTATGTGAGGATGGAAGTTAATGAAATTTGATAGGCATATTACTGTCGTGGTCTCCAAGATTGAGTTCAAAGATGAGAGTCGTGGAGGTCGTTATGTCCCCGTAATAGGACCTTTTGTGTTTAGAAATTCCCCACCTACATCTGCTTGGAGGCAGCCGACAGCTGGATATAGCCGGGGAACCCCATAATGGGATGGGATCAAATGACGTTACATTGAGGGATTGTACTATAACTTCAGCAGGGGGAGGATAGGTTGGACATATGTCAGGTTATTTTCTACGGCCACACCAAGTAATTGCTATGGATGACGTCCACTGGAGACCTTAAATCTAATTACCTTAAATTTAAGGCAAGCGCGCAATAAAATCACGAAGGGCCGAAAAACGAGATGCCTAGATTTGGAATATACTAACTGTAGAAGTACAAATGTTAGGACACAAAGAACACAAGTCTTCTATTTGTCATAAAGACAAATTAACAAAACAGCAGTAGTCGCCCTGTTCTGATTCTTTCCTTTATAACATCTTCTCATATTATATTTTGCGGCGCTGTCGTGATACTTTCAACACAGTAAGAATTTCTTGAACGTTTTTTTCCAGTAACAGTCCAAACTCAAATAACGTGTGTGGTGGGGGGGGGGGGCGTAACACGGGTGACGACGCATCTGTATAATCTGCGGCAAACCGTTTCAGGGTGTTCTGTACCATAAAAATAGTACAGAGATTCTTTTGTTCTTTAGACCAAATTGATTATTAAAAAGACTGAAGAATACGCATGTTAATTTCTCTAGAACGATGTACCTCTGACGAAGGCATGAGATCTCCGACCTCTAGTTTGCAATTGATTTTAAACCTTGTTTTCAGTAAGTTTCAACGTATGCAATATTGCACATCTTTACCGACCTTCATTTTCCCATATTAACTTTGAATAATGATATGAACTTGTATGTTTACAACAGCACAACCACGCTGCCGGAGGAACCCACTTTGGTTTCTGGTACCGCATGCACAAACACCCTGACGGCGCCTCCTACGATCCAAACATCTGCCCCCAAAGAGTTCCCCTCGGAGTCTTCCAGAACAACACGGTCCACTCCTGCGGCTGGTTTGGGCTGTGGGTGTTCCAGGAGTACTACCCCGCCGAGGGAGGCAGCTGCTCCTGGGGGGCCAAACCAGAGCCGGCGGTCTTCAGGAGTCTTACTGCCTGGAGGTGAGGATGTCAACTTTAACAAATTTGCAAATTGATCTATAATAATTACCAATATTTGTAAATATCAAAGTAAATCTTTTTTTAAATGTAGTGAATGCCTTCAAAATTCAAAAGATCCAATCGCAATCATCGAAAAGAACAACGTCCTATATATCTGCCTGAGTAGATCAAACTAGTCAAACGTTACGTACTTGATACGATTATGATATAAGACTGGAATGTAATGCCAAAAGGCGACTTAGCGGTTATGCGAAGCAAACAAATCGAACAAAATGTTAATGTCAATCAGAGCATGATCAGTCGTTACTCTTGCACACATAGGAACGAAAAAGGTGCAGAATGGGTGGACGTTGGGGCCATTCAGTTCGAGGGCTTCCTTTTGGCGTACAACCAGCACACAGGGATTGAGATGAAGCAGATCAAGAGGCTGTCAGAGTGGGGCCTGGCCAAAATCACCGACGCTGTCATTATCGCACACGGTAACATCACCGCCGCTGACGAGCGCAGTGAAGGTCAGATCTTGATCAGTTATTAAGTTGCTCCTGGCCATCAGCAATTTATAATCTTGACGTGTGTTCTAAAGAAGTAGCAACAGTTAGTATACATGCAAGCAAAATAAGCTTTTATGAATCTTATGTGATTATTATTTTTCCACATGGGAGCAATGTGTCGTCCTCTGTACCACATACTAGTAATGCAAAAGATTAACAGCCTACTAATATCAAATATGTCTATGTAATTGTCAATGTGTTCTGCAGCTGGCATCATCCTCCCGTTTGCCCGATATCTGACCATCAGCGGGACAAAATTCATCAACTTTGACCGAGATGGGAGTGCTGCGTTCAGGCTCACCAAGATTCATTGTATCTGCGAGACGTATTGCGACGGTTTCCCATACAAGTCAGTCCTTGTCATATAACTAGTTGGATAACATCGGTCGTTTGAGAGATCATTTTGTTACTGAACGATATATACAGGGTTGCCTCTTCAAATAATATATGTATCTACATTTAAGAATTTTTTGTCATTTCACAGGGCTGAAAGAGTTGAATATCACAACACAGTCAACAAGGCTGGCTTTCGATGGGAACACGAGGGATGGATTGAAGATTTAGACGGGTCCGTGACTGGAACTGTTGGAGGCAAGGTGATCCCGTCCTCCGACACCCTCCCGCCTTCGTGTGCCCAGGATCCCGAGTTCAGTAGTGGCAATTACCCTGGGTCTGTCTGCACTGATGCTACTGTCAGGTCAGTTTTGTGGCTTTATAAGGAACTTTGAACCATATTTATAATAGAATGGGTTTATCATATGGCAATCGAGATGTCAGCTTGCTGTATATCTTAATAAGATCAGTCATTTCCAATAATCACAATTTGAAATTTCTTTGGGTTTGTTTTCTTTTAAAACGAAATCACCTCTTCTGCTTATATTTTTCAAGGTGCACAACTAATGATATTTTTTCTACGACAGGTTCCACCGTTTCGCATTTAAAGGAGTCCAGCCGGAGTCACTTGACATGAGGGACGCCGTCTTTAAGAACGCCTATGGCAACACCTCAGTGCCCTGGGCTCCAAAGAGGATGACTCACAAGCCAGGCTGGACCATGATCCTAGTCGGGAAGGAGACGTACACCTTCGGTTTCAGGGATTCTTCTCACATCACCAACCTGACGTACTCGGCAACCTTCTACGACTTCGAGGTAGGGGAAGATGACTCGTCCTCCTCTTGTGTAAATTGTTTGAGAATCACCATTTGTATCTTCCTTAATGTTGATTATATGTTATTTTAAAGTTTATCAAGCAAGATCAACAATGTACGTAGTCGGAAATTACAGGAGATATCGGGTTTCCATATTTGAGAGCACGTTCTAGTTTCCTTATGATTTTTTAAGCAGCAAACTTGACGTCATTCGGCGTGGATACCTTTATAAAAGAGAACAGTACAGGAATCTAAAACGGTGTCGAAAAGCAGAATTCATGCGTGGCAACACAACATGGCTTTCGAGCCAGAATGCTTATGCTCTTTGTCAGCCAAACAACCTTGAAAGCAATCCCGCATTCATTCATTCATATCATTCTTTCATTCATTTCTTGTTCATATCTTAGGACACGGATTACGTCATCATGCAGCACGACTTCACGCAGTCGCCTGATAGATTCTCGCTCACTGACGGAGACAACAGAGAGCCGTCAGCTGCTGCAGTCAGCTTCGCCAACAACGACGACAAAGACTGGTTCTTTGATGAGGCAAATGGAAAGATATTTTCTTACCTAGGTAAATAATGGCATAGAGTTACTTCCGTACTAAAGTGAGTCATCTAATTTGCCATTTAGAATTCAAGTATTGAGTCTGTTCCGACTTATGTAGGTCTTCGAACGCTTTCATAACTTCCTTACTCATCGCGCTGGGGTTGCGATAATGAGGATGACTATTCTTCCATTCCTCCCTGTCCTCCATAGCTCTTGATAGTTCATCTGTGGTGCAACATTCATCCTCGAACAGTTGACCAACATTGAAAGGTAAATAACATCATTACTTATCAGATAATGATAGTAATACATATTTTCCTGTTTCCAGTTTCTGGTAAGGGAGAAACCTCCTCAGCAGATCGGAATGTGAAGATGAAAGTCTACAGATGCTTCTATGAAGATTGCATCCCCCCTGCCGACCCGAACGACGTCCCGCCGGACGGCCAGCGTCCTCCTGACTACGTCGTGTACTCCGACCTCATCTGGAAGAGGGACACTGAAGGTTTCATGGTACCCAGTTCCTCCGTAACCGACACGAGGAGGAAGAGATCAACAACAATCCAGGAAGATGACGACGTGAAGATCACAGGAGGTACGGCAATGGCATGCAACAAGTTTTCCTTAAATTTCTATCTCTAATTTTCTTAGACATAAAATTATATTTTGTTGGGAGACTTTAAACATATTTTAATCGTCCCTAATCACACAATCCTTTGTATGTGACTTTAAACATATTTTAATCGTCCCTAATCACACAATCCTTTGTATGTTGTTAGCATGTATGCAAATCTGTTGACTATTCCTCTAGTTACCTGGCTGGTGCTTGGTGACGAGGATGTACCGAAGCTTGGGAAACTCTACATCTACACGGTACTGGAGTTGTGGGATCCAGCCAATCCATACACCAGGGACTACACACTGGAAGCTACACATATCTTCATACAGGCACGTACTATGATGCTAAGGTGCCACAATAGAAAAAGAATACTTTGGAAAGTGACTTTTGTGTCAAAATTGCTCACTCGTAAATTCAATACAATCAATGTAGTTACTGTTTACTTCCACACACTTTAGTCCTTTCTCTTGATAATGTTTATTTTTTAATTACTCTCTTAGGGAGGACGGCTGGTGGTTGGCTGGCCAGAAAATCCATACCTGGGCAACGTTCACATCATTCTCCATGGCGACCACAACACCCCCGAACTGTCTGTGCCAAACGGACCGACTGTTGGAGCAAAGGCAATAGGTAGAGATTGACTGCGTACTAGATATCATTTCCATAACAAATCTATTAATGGAACATTTTGGCTACGCCTCTGAGACGGTGTCACTTTTCAAACTATAAAGAGATGCATCATTGTTACACTTTTGTGAGCTTAAAGAAACTTAAAACATGAAGGACTGTAATGCAGAATTGACTGTTTCCACAGAAACTCAGAAAAGGAATCGCGTCGCACATTAAACCCACGACATTAAACCCACGATTACACGTTTCTTTTTCAGGTGTGTTTGGAGGTCTGGACCTGGTTGGTAAGGAACGGAACGTGTGCTGGACTCACCTGGCCGAGACAGCTGCAGCAGGTGCAAACACCATCACCCTAGCAGACGCCGTGGACTGGCAGGTGGATGAAGAAATCGTCATCACTACGTAAGAACACTACTCCTTACCGATCAGGTGAAAGGGCAGAGATATTTAGAGAATGTGCACGCTTTGCTCTGATTAGATTTAGTTGATTCTCTCTTAACACGTGAGATTGAAATTATCATGGTGCATGAGATGCTGAATGAAATTTCACGTACAATTTCAGTGCAGAAGCTGCTGTTTTTTGTTTGAGTTATGTAAAACTCTTAAAATATCATTATACGAGTATGAAAAATATGTAAAATTGCATGTGCTACATGCAGAACACAAACAGTTTGTGTGAATTGTGGAATGAGTGTCATGCATCCACTCTTCTTCACCTTTTGACACAGCACCAGTTTTGACGCCTGGCAGACGGAGACGTTTACAATCACGGCTGTATCTGCAGACGAAAGAACACTGACGCTGAACTCCACTCTTGCCTACGACCATATATGTGAGTACACAAAGTGAGATAATTTGACACATAGCACACATAGTGGGTATATAAAATCTCCGTCTTTTAGCCAGCAAGAGTGAACACATTTATTGGAAAGTGGAAACTTTATATCCTCTCACATTAACAGACCACAGTGATACGGTGAATGGGAAATCTTACACCATGGCAGCGGAGGTGGGACTGTTTACCAGGAACATCAAGATTGAGGGTGCGGACTACCAGGGCCTCTTCACGGAGTCATTTGGCGCCAGGGTGCTGGTCGGCTCCTTCAACACTGGAGGACAAACATACACAGGTTAGACGTAATACATGTGAAAACTATGTCAGTCTAGCTACGTATGAACTTACCTTACCGTACAATCTTAAAACAAGTATGAAACACAGTTTTTTGAACGAATTTCCATATACACAAAATGTTTGTTATGTGTGTATTGCGGCTTTATCAAAAGGAAGAACGCCTAGCTTAAAGATAAACATATTTTATCAATATTTATGTTTCATCGTTATCCAGGATACGCAAGGATCAGGAATGTGGAGTTTTACCACACCGGACAGGAGGGTTGGAACGCCTTCTACGATCCGCGCTTCTCTCTGGCCTTTGTCAACACCGGAGACGTCTCAGAGACAAAACCGTCTAAGGTCGAGAACAGCGCCTTCCACAACGGCTTCTCTCCTGGCATCGGGGTGTACGGAACAAACAAGCTGGAGATCATCAACAACATAGTACACCACACTGTTGGGCAAGGTAAAAAATATACCTGTATTAAATGTATTTGTATATGTTCTTGTGATTACGTATTACATGTATTTTTGTACAAATTCCTGTGATGTTTTTATGGTGTTCAATCTAAAGGGGATCTCACAACGAAACATACTCAACATTTAATTTTACCGATTAATTAGAGATCCATGGTGGAAGGGTCTTTTAAGTAAAAAGACCATCGTTTGTAATTCTATCACGTATATACGTATATATGTAGATTGAAGCACGTGCATATCTGCAAAGTAATTCTAAACACCATTTTTGGCTGTGTGTAGGAATGATCATCGAGGGATCGAGAAACTCCTTGACCAGAAACCTGATCGCCCTGTCCATCTGGCCTGGAGCTTACCAGGACCGTAAGGAGGAGAACAGCTTGAAGTGGGAGGGAGCTCTGGAAGTCATGGACGCCACAAACATCGTGCTGAAGGTAAGTGAATTTGGGTATACTAGAATTCCAGTACTACAGTTGAGTTGTTTAAAACAATAGTTGCAATGCTATACTTGTCGTTAACACTCCCTGTGCCACCCCCGTAGGACAATGTGATAGCCGGAGCAGAACGCATCGGAGTGCACCTGGATGGCGAGCCGTGTCCTGGTGCTGACAACCCGGTGGACAATTGGAGCGGGAACGTCATCCACTCAGGTCAGAATTGTATGAAGGACGTGTAGCCTTTTTCTCACGTAACAGAGATGACATTTCATTCCTTTACAACATGAAAATTACATTTTGTATCGAAATCTTCCCTTGTGTGGGTGATACATACATAGCCGTTTTACAAGAGGCAAAAGCTAACAAAAACCATCGACAAAATGTATGGTAATGGATCATTCAATAGCAGTTCTAATACGGAGTCAAATTGTGTGTGACTTGTTGTAGCACTCCATGGCACCCACGCGTATGAAGACGGCCTGCCAGAGTGCTCCATGATCTCCAACTTCTTCATCTACAAGTGCTACAGCTATGGAGTCTACTTCCAGTCTGTGTCCAGTTTAGTCCTGAACAACATTACATCTGTCGACAACGGAATCGGCTCCTTCACGTCAATCATTGGACCAGCGTCCATCTCACACGAGGTCTGTAAATTATACTTTTATACAAATTTCTTGAAGTTACATTTATATCGTTTAAATACATTGCAAAATACATGTCCGAAGCTAATTTCAATTTCACACATGTAAAAACTTCTGACAAAGGCAATGATGACGAATACTATTATGATATCAAGAACTACTTCCTATGCCTGCAATACACTAGTTATAAGGCAAGGGCTACACGCATAACAATTAATGAGGTGTGTTTTTCTATACTTTATAGGGGGAAAACAAATTTGTGAGGATACAAGGATCCTTTTTCGTCGGGAGAAGTTCGGCCTTCAGTTGTGAAGACGATGTCTTGGACTTGAGCGACGACAACCTAGAGATTGCCAGATCAAGGGCAGGGTTAGGGTTCTCGAGTCAGAAGGGCACCGCAGGAGGACACATCGGGATTTCGTTTCCCGGCTTCATTTCTGGTTTCAGTGGCTCTCCGCTCAAACCATGGGACAAGGTTATGAAGGCTCCTGCATTGCTGGGCGGGACGGAAGTAAAAGGTTAGTGTCGTTTTGTTACATTTTCATTCCTTACATTTTAATTAGTATTAGCCTCCTGTGCCGGTGGCGTTTTGTAGAATTGTTGACGCGTTCTTTTGCCGGCCATCGTACGTATAGAAAACCACCATCGTAAGACCAAACCCGCCTGGAATCCAGTATTAAAACGCACATCCACTCGGAGGTCTGCATAGAAGGCTACATTTTAATCACTATTTCTGTGTTCTGGACAATCATTTTTACACTCGTTTGAACCATCCATTGGTCATGGGTAGTCAATGAAGACAACAGTTCATTTAACAACACCTATAAAGGTAACCTTTCTGTCGTCAACATCATTGAAAGTGTTTTTTTTTTACACTTCAGACACGACGTTTTCCAACTTCGGCGAAGCGTGTAGCGGTCTGCAGGATGTCGTGTTCCACACTTGGAACATCAACGAGGACTTAATGCACCCGATTGAGACGGAGGGACTCCAGTTTGTGGATGTCGATGAGAACAACAAAGTTTTTCTTGCACGGCCTGCTCTGGGGTATTATTGTATATGACAACTTTCTTTTTAGCTATATAGTATATGTTTTGATTATAATCCATATCCAGCTATCTGTCTAATATCAATCTCTCTATCTATCTATGATCCCTCTATCTATCTATCTATCTATCTATCTATCCATCCACGATAATGTTAATGTGATCATCTCCTTCATTGTAGAAGGAAATGCGATACGTTGTAAACCATACAAACACTTATGCTAAATGCGGTGAATCTAATAGAGTTTGATATATGTCTTCCAAGAGTGATCAACCCGACTGAATGTGTGGACATGGAGTGTGACGGAAAGAAGGAGACGTTCATCAAGGACCGTGACGGGTCCTTCCTGCCGTCGGGAACCCCCGGAGCCTTCATCCCGCAGGCGGAGTGGGAGTGGGACGGTGACCCCAAGAGGGGCCTGGGAGACTACCGCATCCCCAAGACCATGCTGGCCAACCTGGACGGGAGTCAGATGGACATCAGTGAGGTCGTGACAGGAGGGAGAGGTAGATGTACTATTTGTTTGCTCATTCTTCCTGGATTCAAAGTAGTAACTAAAAATTTTATTTCAGGACCGCTCAATTTAACCTATAGCTGGAGAGCCGTAACATAAACCGCAGTCACAATTTAATATGTCTTTTGAAACCTGTAGCGTGGTTTTCAATGCACTGTTTTTAAACGTGTACAGTCAGTTTGAATGTTGCAATGCGTTTCTAAAAAGAGGTATAGAGTGAATGTGAATTTTGAAAACCATATTCATATTTGGAAAACTGACTTACAAAAGCTGGCCCGGAATGACGTTTGACTTTCTGATGACAGGTATCATCAGAACACCAGACTGTGTGAGCAATGATGAGCTGCATGGTCACCTGTGCCACAGCCTCAACTACGAGATGCTGGTGATCGAGAGCCTTGATGACGACACGGAGACCCGCAGGCTGTCACCTGTCGCTCTCCTGGCTGACGGGTACATCGACCTGCTGAACGGACCCATGGTCAGTCGCTGTTTCGTTTTCTAGCGTGGTCCAAGTGATGCGTGTTTGCAATTGTGCTAAAATTAATGAAACAGCAAGTTGAATCCTTCAGATACTTGTTGATTGGATAAGCAAGTACAATCTATTCAGAAATGTACGATGCCATCTGTTTGATAACTTCATTTGTTAAAAGTGTTCTCCTATAATTGCCCAAGAGTTACCCTGATCAATTACATGTTTACACGTTGGCATACAGAACTGAAACGAAACGGGAACTCTATATTTGTTATGTTATCCCAGAGCCACGAGTGGTGCGGAGGCTACAACTGCCAGAAGCGTATCTCCACCTTCTGGGCTGTCGTCGCCACAGAGAAGGAATATCTCATCCACTTCACCGGTCTCAGTCCCCAGAACCTGCGGCTACAGCTCCTCAACACTGCCGAAGACAAGTCCATGGTTGTCGGTATCTACTACTGCAGGCCCGAGAGGCTAGACGTGTATGTGAACGGTGGCTTCGTGGAACCGAAGAACTTCGACCCTAGTACTGGCGGTATTTTAGCCGGGGATTACAGGCCAACTTTGAACGATTCCCCTGGAGCGAACTTCATGGACATTGAATGGCAGACTCTGTACTTCACTCTGAAAGGATCTACCCCCGTAACAATCAAACAAACAGAAGTCATCGTCCTAACCTTCGGGATGCCGCCGGTGACTGTAGAGGACTTCTTCTCGTCTGACCAGCTAGTGAACAACCTCTGCCTGTTCCTGAACATCCCGGCCGACAAGGTGCGAGTGATGGACGTTGTGCGTGAAGACAGCTCACGTCGGCGCCGTGCAGCCGACAGTATGACCGTACAGGTCCAGATAGGAGACCCACCGACTCCGTTACTGAATGGAACCTCAGACAACAGCCTCTCTCACGATGATCTAATGCAGTTGATGTCTGTGATGGTGAATGCTGTGCAGACAGGTGGGTTATTGTACCTTTTTTTACTTTTTACTTTAGTTTATATGTTGTATAGATTTCATTTTGTGTCAACTTCTTGTTCTATTTTCTTCTTGTATTGAAAATCTCAAAGTTTTGCCTGGTTTTTACTTAAAAAGTTGCACACAGAAGTGACGTGATAGCACGTGTTTCTGATATATACCATCTAGGTGAACTGGACAGTGTGTTTGGAACGACTGTGACCAGCGTGTCTGTAGTCGATCCCGTCCCGCCTGTGGCGAGTCAAGAGTGGCGGGAGATGACCGTGGACCAGACCCGGGCGGATGATTACGTCATGCCGGATTCCATCATCGTACACACCCAGCCGGAACCGCAGCATGAGCTGGCCGTCTTCGCCGTTCAACCCAAGATCCAGGCTTTGGACAAAGAGGTATGACAGCGATACTGTATGTAGCTTAAAACTACTGATATTGTCAGCCAGTCTTCTTCATACGGATGTCCTGTCACACGTGCGCACGTTAGACAAGAAAGCATACTGATCGGAATTGTTTGGAAGTTGCAGGAATACAGCCAAGTGTACCTAAATCAAAGTACGATTATGGATGTTGTCAAGACAATGTCGATAATGCCGTTACCAAAACAAGCTTAAAGTAAAATATTGTTGCCCTGGATGTCACAATGAAGTACCTTTGAAGGAGAAAAAGAGTGTCTGTTTTACAATATGTTCCGTGCCGAATCAGTCCTTAGTAAGACGCTGTGTTACTGACGTAAAGAACAATGTCGATGGACGTAGTATAATATGGTAATTTTTGTAGGGCAACCATATGGCACATCTTGGGCACACCAGCTCCCCCTGGGAAGTCACTGCCTCCCTGCAGCCGGGAGATAACACCGACCCCAGGGCGACATTGACGGGGACCCTCAGTGTACCGTACGTCAACGGCTGGGCCAACTTTACTGACCTCAAGGTCTCCCACAGGTCAGTGAGAATGGAAAGAATCAATAGGTCAGAATAAAAAAAGGAGTTAGTGAGAAGATGGCGTTTCAGCACAAAGGATCTATAGAAAAGAAGTAATCATCATTGTCTACTTAAGATATACTGTAAAAATGGATGAACAAATGCATACCTGAAAAATAATTTACTTTAACCATATATTACAGTGGTGAGGGCTACACCATCCGGTTCACGGTGAGCCAGAGTACCACCAATCCTCTGCAGGCAGAGACTCAGCCGTTCACGGTCGAAGGGATGCCAGTTAGAGGTATGGCCCCTCTGTGCAAACTTGAAGATACCGTACGTGCTGAAATTCTCAACAAGTTGAGATTTTGATTTTCATCTAATTTTTTTCGCCCAAAGTAATAACATTTTGAAGAAGTTAGCTGATTTGCGTAACTTGCAGCTTGTTTATCCCCCCAGCTGCCACATTCAGCAAACCAGACACAGCCACTGTTGATGACCCGTTCAACCTCCAACTGGAGCTGAGAGACGCTGTCACCGGGCAGGCGATATCTGACATCTCCTGGAAGGTACAGTGGCCATTGTTTCCCATCCAAACGATATCATTTGCATGTCTCAATTGTCTTATGTCAGTTATGCAGCAGTTAATTCGGCCAGATAAATCGTTAGCTATAAGAAAGAAGAAATGGCTGTCATGACCTGTTTTTTCATTTTTTTCCCATGAACAGGGGCTGAGCTGGTTCGCTAACGTTATTCTGATGGAGCCAGTCCCGGGTCTGTACAGAGGCAGCCTCCGTGGCAACACTTCTACAACCTTTGATGTTCTGAGCGGCCATGCCACATTCAGAGGCATCTCCCTCACACATGCAAGGTAATACATTTTTTTTCAGATTAAGAAATATGTTATATACGTTATGTTAAACTTTATAAACACCAAATAATGCCTGATTTAATGAAATTAAATCTTTTAAAAGCAATTTTTAATCTAATTGAACAAGTATTTTTATCTGTTATTTCACTCTTCACTAAAATTTTCATCTGCAAAGGAAAACCTTAGCCTTAGCTTTACTGCATTAATTAAAGCAGTGGTGCATCGAGGCAAGGTAACGCTGAGGTCACAATTCGCATACGGGGCCCGGCCGGGCAGCTTTTTAGAACGAAAAGTACGACATAAAAGACAACAAAACACAGAAAAGTTTTTGATGATAGTCATGGGCACTATTTCCGTATATTCTTGATATGAATTATTAATTTTTCGTTCATACAAACAGCCCGGCCGGGCCCCGGCGTGGAAATGTGACCTAAGCATAAGGCATAGATATTGACAAATACATTTGTAATATTTCTTTTTCAGTCGCTACCATCTCCAGTTCCACATCACCACGGACCCGCCCATGGAGGAGTACGACTTTACCTACATCCCCGACCCCATCGACGTCTTCCCGCCAGGGTACGAGAAGCCCTCGGGAGTTTCCAAGGTCGCACGGATCACTTTTGACGCTGACTTCTACCAGACGGTGGGAGACCTTGAACTCTACTTCGAGACCTTCATGATGAACGTCCTCAACGCAAATTTCAGCACGGTGTACTTTTCTGCGGCGAACGCCTACGCAGGTCGGATATGCTCAAACCTTCGGAAGCCTTTTAGTATCATAATTTTGTAAAATTTGGTACAAAATAGTATATTGCATACAATCTCTGCAGAAAAATGTAGACTAATGTTGTAATGTATTCTTTAATTTCAAAGAGTATAAGCATATTAGAGGATAATAATATTACAGACAATGATTTCCATGCCTGCCTTTGGTTTGACTGGGATGGATACCATTTATTGCAAAAATGGTATAGTTTGCAACGCCGTCTATCCAATGAAGTAGAACTGCAGACTTTGCCGCTACCTAAATCCATATCATTAGTTATTGCGAGCTTCTACATCACGTTGACATGCTGTTTATCAAGTTGATTCATGATGTGTTTTACTACATACCATATATCTATCTACTGATGGGACCTACGTGGTGTTGTGCCTTGCAGGAAGTGTCGTGGTGGACCTGACCGTGACCGGTCCGGATGATGAGGTGGAGGCGGCGTTGTTACGTCTGTGGTACCAGGTCCAACAGCCAATGAGGGTCACGTTTAACGGGAACACCATGGAGACCATCGACGTCATGTATGTGGATGGGCAACGGTATTATGGCACGGAGACAGTGAGTAGGGATGTGTTTAATATCTCTTCTTTTGTGTAATAATCATACAAAAGAATATTAGTACAAAATGTTTGAAATATAAGCAATACCCATCAATGTATTAATAGTATCCAAACATGCCATTTCAAATCTTACATATTATATATAATTATTACTCACATTTCAAGATTATGTAGTGCAGGCGATATGACATTTTGTCTTTCATAATGTCTGATATTTCATTTTCATCTGATGGTGGTTAACTGAATCAGTGTAAGTTTGATACGCTTTACATTTCATAAAGAGAAAACAATTTTGTATAAAACTATTGCTCCCTGTCCACGGTTGTGGTCTTCAGGCCAGCTCGGGACCGGATGTGGCGTTGATCGCTGCCGTCTCAGCCGTCGCTGTACTTGCCCTTGTCGTCATCATCCTGATCGTCGTTTGGCTGAAGAAGAAACAAGGCCGCAGTACGAATATACCGTGTTTCTGTAGCTATCTTACTATGTAGCATAATACTGATTGTACATAGAGAGAAAAGGTTAAAGCATGCCGTTGAATGAAATTGAAGAAAACATGAAAACAGACAGTACCGGAGTATAACTTTTAAGTTATACACTAAAAATAAGGATGAAAAAAAATACAAAAATTGCCCTGAATGAATACTTGTTTTAACACACATGTAACAGACGTTCATATGTTATTTCATCTTCACGTTTCAGAAAACAAAGCCTGGGCAGACTCCAGCCAGTCCTCTGCCTTCTTCCGTCCAAGTTCTGTTGCAGGACAAAGTCAAGTAAGTACACATATCTGTACTGATAATTGTGTTTTTAGATATTCTTGATACATTGTAAAATATCTGTTAATGATGGGGCTTGTGTTTTTTTATATATATTCTTGATACATTGTAAAATATCTGTTAATGATGGGGCTTGTGTTTTTTTATATATATTCTTGATACATTGTAAACTATCTGTTAATGATGGGGCTTTGGCTTGCTGTCCTCTACTACCAAGATGTCTGATTAGTGGTGGTTTGGTTATGAAAAAAAAAGAGTTTGAACAATTTCGAGAATGAAATTTAAAAAAGACGTCATCAAGTTATCAAAACACTAATATTTGCTTACTCTAGGTACATGTGGAGGTGGCTGGTCATGAGATGAAAGACCTTGAAGCCAGCCTGCTGGGTAAGACCAATGGCGCCTTCACGATGCAGGAGACTAAGTTGGACAAGACAGAGCTCCAGTCACGGCCGGTCTCCCGCTCCTCCGTCTCTCCCCGCTCCGTCTCTCCTCCGGGATACGTGTGTGACGAGGACAGTAAGTGTGAAGAAATGTTTCGTTTCGTTTTCACTGCCTTTCATGTTTATGATTTCACTGCACTTTTACTCATCAGTACCAGTGCAATAGCTCAATGGGAAGAGTGCTCCCTTGGCGAACTTAGAAAATGGCATATACTGCTTTCTCTGCGTAGCACTTAAGCTTAGCATGTATGAGAAAATGCGTCAAACACACACCGCTAACAACGGACTGGCTGCTGTAGTGATTGCACAAATGTGTACTGAAATGGCCACAAAAATGGAAAGGGGCCATCACCCTCTTTTACTCACTCAACGTGACACAACGCTAGGCACTGAGTTGCCTTTTGGGAGCTTACAATATTACTAATTCAATTACCAATGGTGTGTCTGTCTGTAAATCTGTGTGAAGATTTTTCAAAGACTACTCCATTTGGTTGGCACAGATGACATCCCCCAGCCCAGGAACGTGTCTGTCCAGCTGCTGGACAAGCACTACCGCCGCAGTGAGATGGAGAAGACATGGCTGGACATGAACAAACTTCTGAAACAGGTATGTATAACGTTACGTGTGAGGAGGTTGTGGTTTTAGGCCAAACTGTAAGCCACTAAGTGTCATATACTAGTAACTCACTCTACACTGTATTTCGTACAAAACAAAAGTATTGTGAAGCACGATTTGGTTTTGATATACATCCCCGAAAATCAACGCAGCCACAGTACAAATCCAGTACAACTGCATCAACACAGAATTGTAACAGTGTGTGTGTGGGAGGGGGTGTTATAGGCGCTACCAACTGACCCGGCCGATGGGTCTAAATCTTTTAGCCGAGTGGTTTGAGCGTCGGAGTCTGAAGCTGGTGCTCGGGAGGTCGTGGGTTCGAACCCCGGACCAGGACCAGGGGTTGTTATCTGTTTCTACTGCTCGCCCCTGTTTCTTATAGAATCACACAAACATCACAAAATAACGATATCGGCACTCCTGTTTCAAATAAATACCCCTAAAGCATTACTTTACATACATACGACGAATCAAAATCACAAAACAAAAATTGATTAACGGTATAACGACAGTGCTGGTACCTAAAACGTCCATAAATATTTCCTTCAAAAATCACATGGAATCCTCCGATCCGTGTCTTATTCTGTAGGTCCGTGAGGATCTGGTTGCCGGGTTCCCGGACCAGCTGGAGTGGCAGGACTTCGTGTTCCTGACTCCCGGACTGACTCACGTCCCGCTGGACACTGAAGACAAGAAACGCCTGAAGGACATCGTGGAAGTGGGAGAAGATGTCGTCACCATTCACATGGTGTAAGGTGGGGGACATTCCGTGATGGTGCCGTTAATATAAATTCCACGGAACTTGAGGGCGACGTCATCGTGTATGTATTTATGTTTTTACTGTTTAAAAAACATTTCGTGTATCATTTCGTGTATACGTGTTGTTTCGAAATCAATGCCCACATTCTACACGTAAGGCACATTACGAATAATGTTTTGTAGTGGGCATGATAATGTCCAACACCTTAGGACATTTAGAACCATGGGAATATACGAGAGTAGCCCGGAGTCCAGCCTTGTTAGCTTTAGTCTGCTTCCCAAGATTCACTACACCTTTTTGGCGGAGTGGGGGTAGCGGATCTTGGGAAGCGGACTAGTACTGAAGCTGGACTCCAGGCTAATACAAGAGGTATCATACTAATTCTGGTATGTATATTCCATCATTTTGACTAGATTTCATTTGTTTTCTTTTCAGACTGGAATGTCGACCGGACCAAGGATTTGACTAGACCCCTCGTTTGTTTGCTGTGTATTTTTTTCCAAAGTCAGCTGCTTTAAAACGATCTATACGCTCAGATTTTCATATCAGATTAATACTAAATTTTATATTGTGTTACAAGGTAATTCTCTCGACCTACAGAGAATTAATACAGAATCTTCACGTGGTGTTTTATAGATTTTCAAGATTTTTGACAATTTTCCCTTTTTTTAAATTTCATGTGAGTAAACATAAATCTAAGTCAAAAGAATCGAGTTGCAACCAAAACAAAATCTTACTTGAATACTGACAATAAACTTGCACGTTTACCGGCTATGTTGTGTTAAAAAAATAGTCCGCAGACCTCACCTCACCGGTCCCATAGCAGTCCGCAGACACATTACCTTTAAAACCTCCCGGGCACAACGGAAGTGTCTTCATCACGTCACATGTTAGGAATTGTAAACAAAAAGAGCAGACGTGGGGAAACAACGGCATGTTGCTCTACATGAACAAAACCGTCTTCCCACCTGTTAAACTCAATTATTCGAGTTTAACCTTGGGCGAATCCATGTTCTGTATCAGGTAACATTGCAGATACACACGATCTCATGGAACTTCTCTCCTCTTTATTTTGTAATGCTCATTGTTACAATATATGCTGGTATTTGCAGCATAGATATGATGAACTGACTCGTAGGTTGAAATTGGAACGTTGCTAAGCAGTTTTCAGTACATAAGGCGCTACTTCTACTATAAAAAGGCGAGCTGTAACGAAACCGTATTGCACTAGAAGCTTCTCGAATATGCTTTACCTTAGTTGAACTTCTAAACATTTTACCGATCAGAAATCAGGACAAAGGAGACTACTATTTTTCCATCCTTATCTTGTTTGTGTGTCGACACAGCTTTAGTAAGCTCATAACAAACTTTGAATGTGCTGCACGACATAAATGCACTTACACTAAAGACCTTCAGAATATAACAATTAAGGGTCGATTGTTGCATTTTAGGCCGTCGCTTTTTGTACAATTCTCTAAACATCCGTGCTGCAATGTGATTTAAAACTTCAAATGATTCAGGAAACAATGAGGCCCATTCACAAGTTATGGTAAACTGTCAACTTAAACCTATTTCGTCCAAGTGTGTCCGGTCGTTCTTTGAATGGTGAAAATTGGGCACAGCTTTTCTATAAACCCGTGGATTTACGACGAACGTAAGTTCTAACTAGTCTGATGTTTAGAGATTATGTTAGATCAGGCACTTTCCACGCCTCTCTGCAGACATTATTATAGTCGCAATGGGCAAAATCACGTAACAGAACTTCAAGGCAACATGCTAGAAAAGAATAGAAGGACAAAAATGACACTAAAGCACAACTATCGCAATGAGGGGATAGTATGCTATGCATGTTGAGAAAAGAAGAAGGATGAAAACATCTATTTTTGCCTTTCAATGCTGACTTTTCAAAGGACGAAAGTTTCACGTTTTGCCTCACAGATTCTGGTATTGTGTCCGAGAGAAGATGCTTTTTCATGACTGGACAACAGACTGTGAAACATTATCCACGTGAATGAGGCACATATAATTTACACCTCGTACACAAGATACGCCTTTTTGTGTGAGCACCTTTCATGGCCACATATTGACGAGATAGAGTGAGTTGTTGACGCTCTCGTCAACTGAAACTACCGGGTCAACGTTCTTAAGTCCACCACATTGTTACTGACCTGGTTTGGGCGACTCCACAGGTTTTGATAGGGACCTTGTATCGTCTTCATGTGATAGCCATTTGAAAGCTTTTTTTCCTTCAACAACTTTTAACGTTTATTTCATTTAAACAAAAGTCAGAATCTCTACTACAAGTACAAGTCTGCCTTCCTTTACTTTCCTTATAATTAGTGATCCACAAAGCAAAAAAAAACAACAACTTTTGGTTATTGAATAGTATTTGAACAAATCATAGGACGTGTGTTGATTATACATATGGGGCTACTTCTAAACATTTTAGCGATGGCTTATCAGGCTAAAGGAGACTGCTTTTCGTTCTTACCTTGTTTGCGTGTCAACACAGCTTCAGTAAGGTCATACTAAGCTTTCAATGTTCTGCACGACAGAAATGCACTTACACTAAAGAGCTTCAGAATATAACAATTACGGGCCGATTGTTGCATTCTACTAGTAGCTTTTGTAACAATCTTCCAAACATCCGTGCTGCAATGTCTTTTAAAACTTCAAATGATTCAACAAACAATGAGGCCCATTCACATGCCCAAGTTATGGCAAACGGACGACTTAAACCTATTTGGGAGAATTCGAAACAGAATTCGTTCGTTCTTTTTTGGTAGAAATTGGTTACATTTTTACAAAACCGTGGATTTACAACGAATTACGACGAAGTTCTGACTAGTTTGACTTTTTTCAGGAGTTACAGAAATTGTTAGTTTAAGCATTTTTCCATGTTTCTGCAGATGTGGACGAAACGAAGTAATTATTTGCCATTCACATCAAGCGACAGAAGGCAATATACTATCAAAGAATAGATGGAGAGAAAAATTACTAGATACACTACATCACAACTGTCGCAATGAGCCAAGAGTCTGCTATGACTTGAGAAAATAAGAAGTGTGACGACATCTCTTTTCGCGTTTTAATGCTAACTTTTTGAAAGTACGAAAGTTTGACGTTTTGCCTCGTTCGGTACAGATTCTGGCATTGTGTTCATCATTGTGTTCGAGAGAAGATGTTTTTTCATGACTCGACAACGGACTGTGAAACATTATCCACGTGAATGCGGTAACGGTAATTTACACCTCGTACATACGATACGCCTTTTTGTGAGATAACCTTTCATAGCCACAGGTTGACGAGATAGAGTGATTTGTTGCCGGTCCCGTTTCGGGTCAACAGAAGCTACCACAGGGTCAACGTTCTTAATGCCACCGCATTGTTTAATACCGGCCTGGTTTGGGTGACCCCTCTGACGGAGGTGTTAAGGACGTTAAGCACGTCACATGGCAGAACGCATGGCTTGGGTGAAGTATGATATACCTGAGCACGTGGTATTGAGGTGTTGTATAGAGGCAGCCGATTGGTCAATGAAAAGCGCTGACCACGCCCCCTTTTATCACTGATTGATGGCGTGTTAAGTGGACTTACCTTGTCAGCGAGCATAGAGACCGGTCCCTCACGGTGCTGGCGAGATTAGTGTAGTTAGTGTAGTGAAGTCAGTGTGCCCCATAGTGTATGTTACTATAAAAATACCCGCGGTGTTACATCCATTGGGTTCGACATGCAATACTCAAAGTCCGTGTGCCGGTTGGATGATAAATAGTTTGCCTGTGCCGAATGTTAAGTCTTCAAATGTCTCTTGATTGATCATAGTTCTTAAGGCCCCCTTTCCCATTAGACGGTGACTTCTGAGCGGTCAAAATTAAAATTGTTTGACCCTTGATTGTATTATAATTGTAATATGATGCAACACGTAAAGATATGATTCTAAGGACAACAAAACAAGGAAAACGACAGAAGGCGATATGTCATGAAAAGACAAAACGACAAAAACGTTTAAAAGACATCAAAACAAGCAAAACGTTCTTTATTTATGAAATTCCTTGCTCTGTCAAATCTCTGGTCGCTCAGCGGCGGTAGCCTCTAGTGGAAAGCTTGAACTTCAGTTTGGTTTCCAAAGTCCTAGACACAGAAACTGCAACGTTTTTTGGCACGATCTAAAGATCTACCAATTGGACATTCCAAAAATGCATCTATGCATCAAATTCTTAACATCATACACGAACAGTACCGTAAGTAAGAACCCCCTAAGTTCAACAAACCTCACTTTTTAATTTTTTTTTTAATATTCACCGTCTACATCACATCGGCTACAGCTCCTCCCCGATAATAGTGACATTCCGTCATCACAATAAACTAAGCTTTACGCACCAATGGAAGGACAGGACTGCTTCTTTAGTTACCACTCTCCGGTGTGAAGTTTCACTAAGTTAAAGGGAAACAAAGGCGAGGCGGGCAGATCGAGTTATGATATTCTGAAACGGCGTTTACAAAGCAGGCTTTAGGGGAGGTACCGCAGTGCAGCACAAAACCCTGGCCCGTGCTGACGACATTTGTCGCAGCCTGACAGGGTCTCCGAGAAAAACTTCACACTTGTACCTTTAAGCTTCAACCTTTGACAGTCTGTGAGCAGAGGATGGCTTCAGGAAGGGTGACTGCTGTCCTGGTGGCCGTCTTGGCTCTGACTTCGCTGCACGAGGCAGGAGCACAGGGTAAGAAACGTTTCTCTCCTTACAACGTCTTGCGACTGTCAAGTGACAGAGTGGCTACTTAGGGGATTTGCTATGAGAAAAACTCTAACAGTAATCTCACGGTTTTGTACGGAAAGTGATGGGCGTATAGAGACTTACATTATGTAGTCATGCAGTCTAAAACATTATGAAGATTTCATGTTGGAGTATACATATATATCTTACATTGCCATAGATCTAGCGTGCAGAAGTCTATTGTTTTGTAAAGGTTTTGTCAGGCAATTTATCACGCCTTGAGCTAAATGGTTACATATATTAAACGGCTTATTTTCTGCCCTTAACACTTTAAGTCACTGGTGCATTTGAACGGGTAATCTTGTTATTTCTTAAGCCGTATTTTCAAAGCGAGAATGTCAATCATAAGGCTATAGTCAACTCTTATTGAGTTTGCCTCAATTTTCTTTTGCTTGCATTCTGATCACGGAACCCCAGTAACGTCTGTCAATTATGTCCAGTGTGAACTGAGCACGTCGTCAGCATTTGTATATGTGTCGAGTTTGCAGACGTCTTGGCTAAAAGACCTCCTATACTTGACATAGACTCTGGACGGGTCTCCTTCCGAGCTCTCCTCCTGTCTATGTCTTGTTCAGCAATCTTACAGATGAATATGAGCGTTGAGTGTGACGTCTTGTGATTACACATTGGAATATGAAAAAATATGAGCGCTTAGGGACCGGCCACTTACGTCGTGAGATCACAAACTGAGGATAGTCATGCATGTGTCCTGCAAACTTCGGCTTGTTACGTAAACGCAGTTGGAAGTTCCCGTCATGGCGTGTTTGTTTGTTTAGTAGGCTGACGTGCATGCACATAAATCACCCACTCCTACGAGACTGAAGTCACGTTCGAGGGTCGATGACCGGTCCACCATTTCCGCTTTACGGCCCTTTACCCACTGGGATCGAGCCAAATTGATTCGCTTCGATTCGGCTTCGATCCGGCTCCGATCCGGCTCCGATTCAGCTCGATCCGGATAATGTTATCCTAGTGGGAAAAGGTCTAAAATCTCTGA